TTTATTGTATATTCATACTAACTTTTGCTTCTTGGCTCTCAGGGATGGTAGAATCAAACTATTTGGGAAACATCAAACTCAGGCTTTACTAGTGTCAGAAGAAGCATCTACAAGCAGGTTTCTTGAGGTACTTCATTATCTCTTTCTTCTCTTATATCTCCTGTTTTCTTTTATTTTACAATCACATAGCCATTACAACAGTTTCTTCCTCTTTTGTTTTTGAATTGTTCAGTTTGTTCATAACCAAGGAATCCTTCTCAATGTGAATGCCAAGAACCAGATTGAGGTCAGACATTTATTGATTCGTTTAACTAGTATTAGCATTTACGATTTGGTCTGAAAGCCAAGTTTGCACAGGTTTGGGACTTAGACAAGAAGCTTCTGTCTCATGTTCATGTATTCAACGGTGAAATCACTTCTTTCCGAGTTATGCAACACACCCCTTACTTGTATGCTTCCATTTCTCCTTCTCCTTCTGGTATTAACTTTTCATTGTTTCTTGAGTTAATGACACTAAAAACAAGTGTGAATTTGGATTGGTAGCTATGTTGGAGATTCTTCTGGTAATGTATCGGTGTTGAAGATTGAACAAGATTCTAATCAAGTTATACAAATGGAGTACACTATACCTTATTTAGCATCTAATGGTAATTTGCAAAATTCCAAAAATAGCTTCTTTAATTTACCTTTCACATGGATCAAATCGTTTTTCTTGAAACATCTTGTTGTTGTGTAGGCTCTCCTGTTGAAGCTTCTGAGGATACTTCAGTTGTGAGCATTCTACCACAGCCCACAGCTGAAAGCAAGAGGTAACAATTAACAAATCTTTTGTGGTGAAAAGCATATTAAGTGATTCACACTTTTGCTCCATTGCAGGATTCTACTGGTATTTAGTAGCGGTTTTATAGCATTATGGGACATCAAAGAAAGCAAACCGGTTTTGAAAACAGGAGGACATGGGATGGTCAAGCAGGACGCTAAGAAAGCAACTTGTGCTTGTTGGGTTTGTCCTTCAGGAAGCAGAGTTTGTGTTGGCTATACTAACGGAGATATTTTAATATGGAGCATTCCTTTAAAAGGAGAATGCTCACCAGAGAGTTCTGCTATGATCTGCAAGCTTAACCTCGGATACAAATCCGAGAAGATACCAATATCTTCTCTGAAATGGGTTTATGCAGAAGGGAAAGCAAGTCGGGTTTACGTTACCGGAACATCCTCAAACTCGCTGCAGGTGGTTTTATTAAATGACCAAACCGAAACTCGGATGATTAAGCTGGGGCTTCATGTGTCTGAACCTTGTGCTGATATGGAGATGATCATAGCTGATGTCAATGAACAGAGCAAACATAAACAGGACTATCTGCTGGTCCTTGGAAAGTCTGGACGTGTGTATGCTTATGATGATTATATGATTGAGAAGTATCTACTTCAGTCTCAATCTAAATCACCTCCTTCTCTCCCAAAAGAAACTGTGGTTAAGCTTCCCTTTTCAGATTCTAGCAGCATCACTGTAGGAAAATTCCTCACAAACCCTTCACATTTGCTGAATCTCTCAGATGAGGTAAATCTAAACTGTGAGATTGATCCACCAAGTTTTGAATAAAATGAACATTCTTGAGCTTGTGATTCTCTTATGCTGCAGGATTATGCTCAGCTGGCGAAAGATGCTTCGCCTTTCCTTCCTTTTCAGACAGTGCCAAAGGAAGGTTCCCGTTCTGCACATTTTCCTGGTTTCACAAAGGTTAAGAATGTTTACATCACAGGGCACAGTGATGGAACCATTGGTGTATGGGATATGACCTGTCCTTTTCTCATTCCTGTATTGTTCCTGAAAGAACAGGTAAAAGGTCCCGAACTCTTTTGTATTAATTCGCAAACGCAGATCTCTCAAAAATTGTTTTGCCTTTGTTGTTTGTTTCTTATCAGACTGATCAAGATGTATCTTCTCGTGGAAGTGCAGCACTGACAACTTTGCATTATGACAGCAACTCAAGGCTTCTTGTATCTGGTGATCATAACGGAATGGTAAAAAGCATCTTACCCAAAATACTGTATTGAATGTCACTAACATAGAGGCTTATGATCGATTTTAATCTTTTGCAGGTTCGCCTTTATAGGTTCAAACCTGAACCATACCTAACAGAAAACAGTTTTATCCCTTTCCAAGGTATGTTTAACATATAGAAGTTGGCTCTACTATCATCAGGGTATCTTTTATCCTCATAAGGTTATATACATTTCATTTTCTAGGAAGCTCAAAGAAAGGGAACAATCATATTGTGCAAAGTGTTAAGTACATAAAACTTACTGGTTCCATAACCTGTATTCAGAAGAGCCAAAACTCGAAACATATCGCTATTGGATCAGATCAAGGACATGTAAGTTTCTCCTTCTTCAACTTCCTTGTAGGATTCGTTAGTTGAAGTGATTGCTGTGTTGATACCGGTTTACTTATAGGTTTCTTTGGCTGACATTGAGGAAGCAACTGTTTTATACTCAAAACACATTGCAAGTGATATCTGTCCAGGAGTCATCTCCTTGCAATTTGAGAGTTGCATTGTGCAAGGCTTTGAGAAGAACGTGTTAGTGGTTGCTATGAGAGACTCATCAGTTTTTGCTCTGGACAGTGACACGGGAAATATGATTGGGACCAACATGATTAAGCCTAAAAAACCATTCAAGGCTCTATTTATGCAAATCCTAGGTAGGCTCTCATGTTAACCTCTCCCTTTTTAAGTTTAAATCAAAAATCAAGATGTCATTGATTTTCCTATCTTTATTTGCAGATGGCAAACAAGATTCTTCAGGAAATGGATTAGATACGAGCAGAGAGAGCACAGTTGAGGAGATTTCAATAAGGCAGCCTTCGGTTTTGCTTTGTTCGGAGAAAGCTATATATATCTACTCCTTGGCTCACGTTGTCCAGGGGGTGAAGAAGATCCTCCACAAGAAAAAGTTCAGTTCTTCATCCATTTGCTCAGCTACTACCTTCTATGGAACCTCTGGTGTTGGTCTTACACTTGTTTTCATAGATGGCACGGTTGAGACAAGGTGAAAACACATCTGCCTTTTCATCTTTCTTCATATAAGCAAAAACTCTCTCTAAATGCTTTGACTTCCGTCAGGTCGTTGCCAGAACTCTCCCTGCTGAAACAGACTTCCATTAGAGGCTTCACATATTCTCCACCAAAGTCAAATGCCGTACCAGAGACTATCATATCCGCTTCTTGGGATGGAGATCTAGTCATGGTACCCCTCAGAAAACGTGCCCTGGAGTTTACTGTAGTAAGTACTCAAGCTGGATTTTGTGATGATGATCATTATTTTTCTTATTGCAGGTCAATGGAGATGATGAACTTATTGTCAGCTCAGTTTTACCTCAAAAAGACACATTTAGGTGAGACTGATGCACGTCTGATTAGATGTATATCATACAGATGAACTGAAAAGGCTGAAATTCCCGTTTACTTATGTTCCAGGCTTGTGGAATCCTTGAGCCGAGTTTACAAAAAAGATAATGCGGTTTGTCACGAAGGAATCATCACATCATCTCCAAAGGAAAAGAAGGTGGAACATCGGTTTATCACTTTCTGCTACACCCATAAAAACAAGTTTGAGTACTAATTCATCTTCTTGTTTGTTTCAGGGTATGTTTGGTGTCTTCAAAACTAAATCGAAGCGCACAACTGATACAGAACCAGAATGTACCAAGGAAACCGTCGAGGAGCTGTCTAAAAGTTTTGCAACGGCTAATTTCCCATGGAATAACAATGTTGAGAGAAGTAGAGAGAGCAATACAGTTACTAGACTTGACGATGAAGAAGAGTTGGACATAGGTATGCTCCACTTTTGATGTCCTTGCGTGATGCAAGTTTTGATTTTGGGATGTCACTGATCTTTTTCCTTTTGGACTTTTGAAGATGACATTGACATTGACGATCATCATGATCAACAACAACAAGAGAAGCCTAAAGAACAAGGGATTTTGTCAGGGCTTAGCAAGCAGAAGATGGCAAATAGGTTTAGCAACTTCAAAGGTAAGCTGAAGCAGATGACGGCGAAGAATGAGAAGAGTGTTGTAACCAATGACGAGAAACATGAGGAGAAAAACGGCGCCACAGTTGATCAGATCAAGAAGAAATACGGGTTTAGCTCGACTGAGGTAAGCTTCTAAAAATCTTACACAAGTTTGTAATTCCGGCTCGTTGATCTCCATCTTCCTGTGTGTTTTACAGGAAATGGGAGCAACCAAAATGGCTCAAAGCAAACTACAAGACAACCTGAAAAAGTTGCAGGTATTTATTAACTTCATTCATGGCTTTGCATATATAAACTTATCTTCGATAAATTCATTTAGAGACTTGAAATATGCTTTATATCTATGCAGGGTATTAGCTTGAGGACGACTGAAATGGAAGATACTGCCAAATCTTTCTCCTCTACTGCAAAGGAACTGCTGAATGCTGTTGAGTTCAATAAACAGAGCTCAAAATCTTAACAGTCTTTTCTCTGGCTCGATTATTAGTCTCTTTAAACCACATCTCAAAGAACTCTGAATATCAAAATTACCATTCATTTTGTTTGACGATATTGCTGAACATTACTGTAAATACTTATTTCAAAGTTATACAAGTGGTAGTGTGAGGTTTGTTCAACTTCTCTCGAGCTTTAGACAGCAGATAATTCCACCATAATAGAGCAGCAATCTCAATTATAATATCAATCTGTGTACGCATGAATCATTGACAGAAATATCTCAGTGTTTTAGTGTAGACGAACAATGTCAAGCTGTAACCAGTGCTTGATGATAAACAACATTGAATGCTTCGAGTAGTTTGCAAAATCCAACAAAATGACAAAAGACAAAACACAAACATGAGACAAAAACAGCATAAGAACAAAAACCAATATTCCTTGAAAGAAAGCCAGATGAGATTAGTTCCTTTGTAGACAAAGTTTGTATATTTGACTTTTCTTCACCAATCAACATAGAGAGCAACTAGGAGTGCAAACACATTTTATAAGATGTAGAAAATAAAGCTCAAAGCTAAATCCAAAGTTATGATGAGAAGAAGTTGGAAGTTACATCTGAATAGAAATCCGACAGTTAACAACAGAAAGGGGGAAACATAGGAACAAGGTAACTAAATTCTTCTCCCTAAAAAGTAAACTAGCTAACACACAGATGATGACACAAACACAAGGAAATTACTTGGATACACAAATCACTGATCCAACTCCCTAATCATCAGCTCCTCCTGCCTTCTGTAATACCCAAAAAAAAAACAGCTCAAATCACACTAACAAAGAAGAGAGCTTAAAAACAATGGAGATTTTCTAAGTTAGTAGTAACGCAAACCTCTTCACTTGCTCCACCTTCTGTCACCTCGTTGACGACAGACTTGGACTTGTCAGATTCATCTCCAGTTGGCTTGGTTCCATTAGCCTTAAGGAAAAAGAAAAACATTACATTATTAACAACACATAATAAAAAGACAAAATAACAAAACAAAACAAGGAGAATGATTAGTTACCAGATCCATGTTATACTGTTGCAAAGTGGCGGCATACTCAGTCTTTTTGGTCACTGCTTTTGCTACAAAAGGTGCTTTGTCCTGAATCATCATCCATACAATACTCATAATGAGTTCTACTTACATATCTGATTAAACTAAAGAAAAAATAAAAGGCAAAAGAAGACTCACTTCCTCGGTCATAGATTTCCATTTCTTTCCAGCAGCTTTGCCAACCTATATTTGAAAAAATAAAAAACACACACATCAAAGTATTATTAGGTTCATTCATATCTAAAACAAATCTGAGATAAGTAGAGTAAACTTTATTACATTGGCCACGGATTTGTTATCAGGATTAGCTAGATTGAACTCCCGTCGGAACTCGTCCCTTTAATACAAGAGATTCATTAATTAATTAAATCTAGATTAAAACAGATGTAATCAAATTAGTGACAAAAGAGAGAGAGAGAGAGAGATTGAAAATTACAGGAAGACGAAGAAAGCACTTGGAGGTTTCTTAGGCCTGTTTGGATCCTTTGTTTTCTTTCCTCTAACTTTCAATCTGGGAGAGAGAGAGAGAGAAGAAGAAGAAGAAGAATTTGAGAGATATATAAGGAAACAATTTTGAAAATAAGAATCGAATCACAGAGAGAAAGATACCTCTCATCAGTGCTCCTCCCAGCAAATTCCGTTTGGTTATCCTTCATCTCGAGATCTAACCACATAGCAAACCAAAACAAACAAAAGTAAGAATCGGTGATGACTCGGACTTGACTCAGAAGAAGCGGCGAGTGCGAGCTTTTACCTCTGTGTGAACGAACGCTTTAGGGTTTTTTTGAATTGTGGAGAGACGACGATTCTCTGATATTTTCCTTTTCTTTTTTTTTTTTTTTTATGGATGCGCTGTGTTGTTGTCAATTTAAAAGAAAACAAAAATTCAGATTTCCCCAAAACAAATTTAACTTTTTTAAAAATATTTCGTGATGTGGCGGGATTTGTCAAGGTGGATCTATGTAGTCACTTCGAATCCTGACCGTCCGTGTCTTATTTAATTGTGTCCACATTAACTCGTGTTGATGAACTGTAATTATCATGCCAAATTTGTTTATCACGCGCTTCAGGATCTACTGACAAAATAACTAACCAAGTTCAGATCTATCATTTGTGTGTTCCCAAGCAGCACAATTTTGTATTTTACACTCTTTAACTATAATCGCTTTATGTATAACACATATTTTCCTACATACATAGTATATGTTTAGGTTACAAGTTACAAAAAACAAAAAAACAAACATTACATTACATCATCCCTAATTAGTAATCACATACAATATTAAACGAAACTTGAACTCTCGTCAGCCTCTATGTCTCATGTGTTATGAACCCACCAGTCTGCTCCACATTCCCACCATCACTGCCACTATCACCGCTGCAACCACCTTTCATCTCTTCCCTTTCTCTGTTTTACTTTCTACTCTGCATTTGTACCTGTGCCACAAGTTTCTCTTTAGACAAAATATTTTTAAGAGTTAGAAAAGGTAGAATCTTTGAATGAAAAAACAGAATCAGAGAACAAAGGAATCAAAAATTTGAGTGAGTTAAAAAAGAGACGAACCAGGAAGATCCCAAGGTTCCCATTTACAGACATCGATGTCAGGGATGACTCGGGCATCGGAGTGACGTCCGTTGATCTTGAGGTGAAGGTAGTGATTGAAAATATGTATTACATAAAGACAAAATTTAAGTTACAAACTTTAATATGAAACGGAAAGAGTATGAAAGAAACCAATAAATGAATGAAGTTACTAGCATTAAAAAGTATGGGGTTATCTTTGCATATAATGTACATAGATACTCTATGTGAAAGGTGTATATATATACATATTCATGTTAACCAGAGTAAAATAAAACAACAAAGATGGGGAAAATTCTAATATGTTTCCTTTTCTTGTTTTTCTTATCCATCCAAAAAATTGATTCTGTTCTTTTATTTAGACATTTTAACATCCAATTTTCAAATCACCTTCCAGATAACAAAAAACTTATGTTCGAATGTAGATCTGGCAACGATGCAGCGTCCAAAGTTGTATTTATTTCCTCTGATACTACATTCACATTTAAATTCAGAGTTTACCTAAAAACTTTGATATGGTGCAACTTATGGAAGGTACTTTTATCTCTTGCTCATTTGGTGTCTAACAAGTCTATATTATTCTTTTGATGTTTTGTATACATATCCTTTTGTAATCATATTTTTCAGGGACCTAATTACGAGCAACATGTAAAACTTAACGCATTTATCGCGAAAGAAAGTTTTATACATGATATATGTGGGGGTAGGAAACCTAACGTATGTTTCTGGCAAGCGCAAGAAGATGGAATATATGTACGAAATAATGCAGCCGGAACCTTTAAGTTTATGTATAAATGGGATACACAACGTCCAAAATCTATATTATCTTAGATAAAAAAAATCTACAAAAAAATATTATTAGCTTACAAGTATTAAATATATTTTATATAACAATGTTAGATTGAAAAAGACTTAAATTCCAAAAAAAAAAGTTCTTTTTAAATGAGACAGTTTTTTCCAAAATAACTAAACAAGTTCAGATCTATCATTTGTGTGTTACCAAGCAGAACATTTTTTTGCACTTGACACTCTTTAACTATAATCGCTTATGTATAAGTACACACATTTTCCTACATACATAGTATATGTTTAGGTTACAAGTTACAACACAAAAAAAAAAAAAAAAACAACATGATGCTAACATTACATCATCCCTAATTACATACAATATTAAACGAAACTTGGATTCTCCTCAGCCTCTCTGTTTCATGTGTTATGAACCCACCAGTCTGCTCCACATACCCACCCCTACTCCCACCATCACTGCCACTATCACCGTTGCAACCACCTTCCATTTCTTCCCTTCTCTTCTTTTCTTTCTGCTCTGCATTTGTACCTGTGCCACAAGTTTCTCTTTAGACAAAGATACTACTCAATTTTGTTTTAACACATTACTAGCTCCATAACTCGTGGCTCACATGCTCTACCTATATATATTCATTAATGTCTACAACAAGTTCACTTGTTCTTACCTCGTTGTCTGCAAGTCTGCCTGCTTTTACTTGTCCTATAGTTCCCCTCGCCCTGAACTTTATTTGAGGTTTGACCAAGGAATCGCTCTTCTCTGAGTCTTTAACTGCAACTTCTTTGGCCTGCATATCACATAACGACTAATATAAAAGATGCATCCTTTATCTCTTGCATGCCCAACACACAGAACTTTCGGAGTTACTACTCTCGTACCTCGGGAATAGTAGAGAGTCCTTCATTCACCTCCTCCCGCTGTTGTACTTCACATTGATTCTTTTCATCAGACGGCACAGAGCTAGAGTGCATCTGCAAACGGATTCTCCTTGGAGCAATCCCCTGGTTTAATAATCCAGTATTCGAACGGTTCTGAGGCTGTCGAGCTCGAATCTTTATCCCCCTCCCTTCTGTGAGGTTGTTCTCGGTGTTATGATTGATCTTCTGCTCTGGATCAACGAAATCACCATAGTATGAATTAGTGGCAGGGTAAGCCGATACATCGTCACTTGGCCACCCAGAAGCTCCATGATCTGAACCATACTGATCAAACAAACGATGAAAATTGTGTCAATTTTTACTTATGTCATCCAGATAATGTCACAAGTGATAGTAAAGATAACATCTGGTATAGCTCACCTGCAACTGCACCATCTCGGCATCTGTATCAGTGTAAGTCATAAAGTCGTTGAAGAAAACATCCTCAGGTGCTGCAGACTGAAGCATCTTATCAGATGAAAAGATCCCATTTGGTGCGACTGGGTTCTCTCTACTAATCGATTCCTCGCAAGAGAAGTCATCAGGGTTATTAAACACCTCCTCCAACAATTCAGTTAGTGATACATCTGGTTCGCTGGTACCATCTTGAAATTGGAATCCAATCTCATCATAACTGAAATCACCAACATACGTAGAATCCACACACGGTGGTGGTGCATTTAGATCTTCAAGATCACAAGATAACCATGGATTCTCTTCACGTGCCTATGAACACAACAAACTCAAAAAATTGGTCAAGTCGTTCGCTCAAAAAGCCTAATTATTAAAGAGTTTCAGCATACCTCAGTCATTGTCCCATCTGCAATATTACTCTGAGCATAGCCGCATCCACCTGAAGAATCTGATGGTTTCTCCACTGCAGCATCAGAGGAAGGTGTTTCCTGGACAAGATCAGAGGATGTATCGTCGGGTGAGTATTTGCAAGGGATAGGAGCCGGTTCATCGGACTTGACACCATTGACCCTATCATCAGGCTTGTGGAAGAGGCGACACAGAACAAAAGGGCTTTGACCAGGTGCAGTGCCGTCAAGGTCCTTAAGAGTGGGACGATACTCGTGCATAATCCAATTGGTGCGCTCGCCTTTAGGAGCTCGTCCGCGGTAGAAGACAAGAGTCTTCTTCATACCGATTAAAGTCTTCTTGGACTTGATACTCCGATCCTTACCAGTGGCTTTCCAGTAGCCTGAGTCAGTGGCTCTGTTAGAGCGATGACCGTTGGGGTACTTCCGATCACGAGGGCAGAAAAAGAACCACTCTGGATCATCAGTCTTAATCACCGAGAGAGCTGTTAGCAATCAGATTTGTTTCAATTGGATCAGAACAAATATTTTTAAGAGTTGGAAAAAGGTAGAATCTTTGAATGGGAAAAACAGAATCAGAGAACAAAGGAATCAAAAAATTGAAAGAGTTAAAAAAGAGACGAACCAGGAAGATCCCAAGGTTCCCATTTACAGACATCGATGTCAGGGATGACTCGGACATCGGAGTGACGTCCGTTGATCTTGAGGCGAAGGTAGTGATTGACGAGCTCTTCATCGGTAGGTCTGAATCTGAAACCTAGAGGAAGCGACTCCATCGATACAGCTCCCATAATTTACTTCTTAGGGTTTTCCCACTTTTGAATAGCACAGTCTCTCAGCTTTTTTCTTTTCTGCTTTCTAAAAAGTCTTCGACACTTTGCTTTCTCGCATCTCATCTCATCTCCTTCTCTTTTCTTTTTTTTCTTCCCTCTCTCTCTTTTCTTTGTTTTTTTTTTGGACCACGTGAGAAAGATAACTTCCACTTACAAAAACACTTGTCTTCTTCTGTCTTCTGGTCTTGATGGGCTTTTATTATTTGCAGCTAAGACCCAACAAGAATTTAAAGCCCAAATCTTCCTGATTCTTCTTTTGTGGTTTTTATGCTTCAAGTGTATGGAGATTGCCTTGTCTACACTACCAAATCTGAATTGGACGAGGGATTGTAAGATTTCAAATACGAATACTTTGCGTTGATTAATCGTTTTGAAAGTGATACTAACCTCGTTAACATTTTAATACAAACACATTTATATAAACATAAATCTTTTATTTGGTCTCAATACACAAAAGCATATACATATATATATGATGCTATTAATTAAAGTGGTCTATATGTACATAACAAAACAATAAAATGAACAAACAAAAATAAAGCCTTCGGGTAACAACAACATGTCAATATCCCAACACTTCATTATCCAAAAGTTTTAAAAGAAGAAAGAAAGAAAAAACATCCAAACACTTCATCTTCTCTGCGCTTCAATTCTAATGTGACGACACTTACAGTCGCGAAAGGTTCGAACCTGCTGGAAAATAAGACACGACAATAGGAGCTCTCGGAGATTTGCTTTTTGGTTTCTTCAAGGACAAATCTTCCAAGTTACTCGCATCAGTTGAGCTGATACGTGAGCCTGATTTTGGAACAAAGCAACCAAAGAAGGACGCAAAGAGAGATGACATGATGATCAATAGGAGTTTTTTTTTCTAACTGTGTGGAAGTCTTTTTGTATATACTGTACTTGAATGAAAGATGTTTTAAGATATGTTTTTTTTTTTCTCAGGTAATATGAGAAATGTTGTGTATTTATAGGACAACAAAAAGGAAAAGAAACCATCGTTGAAAAATTCTTGGAGACGTTTCTAGGAAATAACATATTTAATCTTGCTGGACAAGCTTTTCCCTTTTCTTAATTGGATACTGTTTGACTCTTCTACTTCAAAATATTGGGCCAAATTGGACCAACTGTTGATAACACATTGATACGTAAACCATCCAATTGGGTTTTTACATATCACCATCCGAAATTTTGTCCAAAACAATAATATCACTATCCAATTGAGGTTTTTCCAAAATTTAAGATTAAAAATTAGCGGATATTTTTTTTTTTATTAGGGCAAATATGTTCGATTAGGAAACTAAATTATATCTAAGCAATACAAAATATTTCGATTCTATTTCTGATTTTGAATTTGAACTTTTAAAATATTTTCCTGCTTTAATTTAGCTTTAAAAAATTGTTTTGAAAAGAAATAAAGTATTAATAGAGAAGTTGTAATAAATCATACCAAAATACAACACAATTATTCAATTTAGTTTTTGAAAGCCTCAAATGAATTGGCTTTTAAGTATACAAAAAAAAAATTATATTTAAAATTTCCAATTATTCAATTTAATATTTTATCACAAAAAAAATCTCAAAATAGCCAAAATCTAATGTTTCTGCCAGAAAACAGAATAGAAGAACTGTTGCCAGTTTTATTAATGTTTGAGAGAAGAAAGGACTCAGCACATGACTTCAGGAAATGAACCCAAAAAGAGAAAATCACAAAGTCATAACGAATACTTCATATAATTGACCAAATTGGAAATAAACTCAAAAAAGATTCTAAGGGATATGTCTCTGATTCATTTACCAAATTCAACCTTTTGTAGAATCATTCTGTTATTTTCCTTTTCTCTTCTTAAAAGAAAAATAGAAAAATCGGAATTTGCCACTTTTCGGACATGCGTCGCGCGTGTGAGTGTGTTATCACTAAACTGGCTCGGTTCCGAGTCACACGCCTCACTCGCACGCTTACACGTGCCGGTAGCGAATATTCTAATGTAACCGAGGACAAGAATTTATTTCGAGTGGCTTTATTGGTAATTTCAGTGATGGACCAAGGGCTTCTCTCTCTTTTCACTAAAACCCTTTTTCACTTGAGATGTCCAAGAAAAAAAAAAAAAAAAGAACCCTTGGATTCTTCTGCAGATTTTTTTTACTCTTAAAAAAGGAAGACAAAATATTTACTGAAGATTTTTTATTTTTATGTTAAAAATCTTTGAGGAGGGGTGTGGGGCTTTTAGCGACTCTTGGTCTTCTTCTTCGGACATGGCACATTCTCTAACCTCACTCGCTGTTTTCCAGAGCGTCATCCGTAAAGGTCAGTCAAACAAAACTCTGACTACAAATCTCTCAATTCGGGTCGGGTCGGGTTTGAGAAATGGTTTTTATTTTTGTTTTGTTTTTGCTTGTGGGGTTAAAATGCAGAGTTGGTGAGGAGTTTGCATGTGTATGGATCTGTGGAGACTGAGAGAGAGTTCTTGTTCGAGAGCCAAAGCCCTTATGTGGAGCAGGAGAAACCGGAGCCTCTGTTTCTTTCCGAAGATTTCCGGCCACCGGAGGACATCTCGGAAGGTTCGGTTTTTGGCACGTGGCGTTGCATCTTCTTGTTCCGGTTTAATCAGCCGCTTCCTCTTCCTCGGTTTCCTACTCTTCTCTGCCTTTCACGGTAACGCTGTTTTGTTGACTCATTTATTTATGACCGTTTTTTCCCTATTCTTTTTAATTTTGTTTGGGTGCTGTTTTATTAGTGTCACATCACTCACTACGTTTGATTTATTTTAGAATCTGGGGTTTATCCTAATTCGAATTCTAGATTAATTTTTTTTCATAGAGATATTATAGAGTGTACAGCCTTATATCTTTATCGATTCCAAGTTTGTGAAATAGAAGAAAACATCGCATAACCACTATGGCAAAACGTAGCAGGGGAATAGGTAATGTGAATAGAGTTATTTATAAAATCAGTAGAGAGCTGGAGTCCTCCATTCTTAGGATGTGTGTTTATTTCTTGTTCTTCTTGTACTGTACTTGCCACAGTGTTTGCATAGTTTTCTTCTCTTTTAATTAATCAATTGCACTGGTCCTTTTTTATGATTCTCTGGTTCATAATTATTACTGATTAGACCAAAAGTTGTGAATCAGTTTGATTGTAGTGACTCACAAACGACACATTGTAGTGTTCCTGAGTTGTGTTTTATAAACTAAACATGCTTTTTTTGCTATTTCTATTGACAGAAACCCTAAGCTGAAGGACATCCCTAATTTAGCCAATGACCTCAAGTTTATTTCTGAATTAACACCGAAGACACCATCAGATCAGGAACTATGCAGTAGTGTCGAATCTCGTGAATTCAATCAGCCTAAACCGCTAAAACGTGTCTTTAAAGAAGATAGTGTTCAAGATTGTGAGGTTGATCAGCCTAAACCGCGAAAGATTGTCCTCAAACAAGATCTTAACTGCCTTCCTGATTCAGAAACCGAATCCGAATCCGAGCAAGAATCTGAAAACGAAATAACTGAACATTCCGAATCAGGTATCTCTTTCTTGAATATGTTAACCTGCCAGATCAGTGATAACTCTAGGGCAGTTTTACGGTTTTGGTGATTAATGTTCGGGTTTATTGCAAAAATACAGATGCAAAGACTGAGATGTTGAGGACGAAGAGGACACCATCAAAGATCGTTGCTGGACTTTCCTTAGAAGATCTTTCAAAATACTTTTGTCTTACTATCGTGGAAGCTTCTCGTAATCTCAATGTCGGTCTCACGGTTTTGAAAAAGAAATGCAGAGAGTTTGGGATTCCCCGGTGGCCTCATAGGAAGATCAAATCTCTCGACAGCCTCATCCACGATCTTCAGGTCAGCTCTCTGTCTCTTTATGAATTTAATACATCAGCAATCCACTGAAACAGGCATTGCTATGTTTTGTATTTGCTTAGAGGGAAGCAGAGAGGCAGCAGGAAATGAGCGAAGCAACAGCAATGGCGGTAGCTAAGAGACAGAAGAAACTGGAGACAGAGAAGAAGAATATAGTGGAGAAACCATTTATGGAGATACAGAAAGAAACCAAAAGGTTCAGGCAAATCAACTTCAAAAAGAGACACAGAGCTTCCAGAGCCAAGAAGAATCAAGAATCTCTTGTCTCTTCCTCTTCTACTTAAGAAAAAAAGAAACAAGATTTTAGGCCTTATAACAGAATCATCGAACATATTTAGTTAGTTAGGGTTTCTGTTATGAAGTGATTTGGTATTTAGGAGTAACAACAGATCGCTAAGCTAAAGCCATGTTTGTTTGAATATTTTTTGGTGTAAGGAGTTCCGAGAAGGTGAGGAACGTCCTGTATCATGACTTTTTTTTTGTGGTCGGAAATCGGAATTAAAATCTATCTTGTTTTTTTTTTTTTTCATGTTTAATAGTGCAAGTAGGGAGTACTGTAAATATCGAATTTGTGTAGATAAATAAGGTGGTGATGGTGAGAAAACAAACCCAAAACTTGGTTTCTGAACTGATCCAAATCAACAAATCTGGAGTGGTCCCTTTTGCTAGCTCGTGCTTTGAAAATCTACGGCGACTCTGTCCACACGACAAAGACCATTTATAACGTGTACCGTACAATGAGGTTCGTCCGAAACTTAAGAGACTTAACTACAAGTGTGTGTATGTGTGTGTGTGTGAGTGATGTTCCTACGTCAATAAGGAAGAAAATGAAAATGTGTTTTCCACTTAATGCTCCGCGTTTGAATAATGTTGATTGAAATTTCACTTTCCGTCTAATGTGGCATTTTTATATGTGGTCAAGTATCCTTTTGATATCCTTTTCAATGTTTTAATAATTTTTTAATTTTTTTTGTTTTAACGTGGGACGTTCCAAGAAATCGCAGGATTTGAAATCTTTTTAAAGAGAAAAAATAATTAAGTAATTGTAACAATAGTTTATTTTTCTGATTTAAAAAGTTTAATACAACATTACTCGAACATATAAAACATCTTTGACCAAGTGAGAAACTTAAATTCTTCTACTCACCTTCGGTAGACAGATTCATATAGTCTATATCCTGACTGTGCCATTGGAGAATTTTGATGTCTCTAAAGTTGAAACAACTTTTATAGTGTAGAAATCGAGTTTTGTTTCAGATTAGTGGAAATGAATGAGAAAATTCCAAAAAGATACAAACATCCAAGCTATGTGACTCAGAGGCTGACTTTTTGTGTATTTTGCTGGTACAAGCAAAGTCTTCTTACCAACGGTTTCACACATCTTTGTATATATACAATAATCAATAATGTTTTTTTCTCTAATTTAAGTCAATATTTATTATCATATCTACAATAACGAAATCTGGACTCCGGATTTAAAAAGACTTTCTTGTTTCTGATCATATATTCCTAGTTGTAATCGTTTGAATAAACATCAAGTTTTAATTACATAGTTGTAATAAGTATCTTTTTTTTTTTGAAGTAAGAATTAAGAAGAGGTCCTCCAAAGAGAATAATAGGGCTTAGATTATATAATTATAACGTCTTGAATCGAGTAGATTATAACGTCATGAATTCATAGGGCTCGATTAATTTAATTTTACAGTCTTCAATCTAGTACTTTTAATATAGGGGTATAATATCCAAAACTTTCTGGTTACCTTGTCTTTTTACAAAATATAATTTATTTCATACTTTTGAAAACTAATATAATTCATCACCATGATGTTGTTGGGATGGGTTCTAAAATTATGTGAGCTAAAACTAGAAACAAGTTATAGATTTCCAAAGTGAAAACAAGAATTATCAACTATTTTTTTAGATCACACGATCATATCTCTGATAGAAAAACAAATAAAATGATTGCCAAAAATTTAAAAATAAAATTTAAAAAGAGATAGTTTAAGCTTTGGCTATGAATACTTTTTGAGTCGATCTTCTTGGCTCTTTCGTATATATATATTTTAATTGTATTTTAATTCGTGGCAACACTGAAAATGAAAATGACATGTAAGACCAAAACATGGAAATTGTCATATAGAGAATGATAGGGTTCCTCGACCTCCCTTATTTTTTCTTGTCAAATTGGGGCAAATAACAAAGATATTAAAACCCTTCTTCGGTTTCTCACTTTCTCCTAACCAAATCCCAAATTTTTCTCCCTTTTATTTTTTTGTATCTTAAAAACCCCAAAATTATTTGCAAACCCATCAAATTATTCCAAACTCCAGCAATAAAAGCACTCGATTCATATCCATATCCACCATTCCTTGTCTGAATTGGTAAAACAAGAAAGGCAAGAAAGAGGAAAGAGGAAAGAAGAAGAAGAAGAAGGCTCATGAAATGGGTTCTTGTTGTTCAATTCCTTCCAAAACACGTCTCCACAGCCATGGTAATCTTTAGTTTACCCAAATCCAGTTCTTGTTTTGTTCTTTTATGTGTTCTTCTCTTACATAAAAGATCTTAACTTTCTTATCTCTCTGTTTTTGTGATATAACAGCCACAACGAACGGCCACAGCAATGGAACAGATTTCTCATCGATGACGTCCACCACCGGCGCGACGACAAGCAGCAGCATCGGACGACGGAGCCAATTTTCTGGAGCGGCGAGCGAGTGTTCCGCTGGGAAAATCAGTGATTCCGGTCTGCTCCTGGAATCGCCGAATCTCAAAGTGTACACCTTTCTGGATCTAAAGACTGCGACGAAGAATTTTAAACCGGAGTCGATGTTGGGTCAAGGAGGGTTCGGGAAAGTTTACAGAGGATGGGTCGATGCCAAGACTCTTGCCCCTTCTAATCCTAAATCTGGTTCTGGTATGATCGTAGCCATCAAGCGATTGAATTCAGAGAGTGTTCAAGGATTTGCAGAGTGGCGAGTAAGATCTTTAATCTCTAATTCCCTAAAACTTTTTCTTTTCCTTTGATGATTTTGATTACTTCTTTGACGGGACCAAAAAAAAAAAAAGAACTAGCTCAATTATTACGTCTTTTGATCAAGATGAAGAAGAGTTGACTATTCCAATCAAGAAACGACTTTGACTTTCTCTGTTGCAGTCTTAAATTATATAGTTAAAGAAAATTTCTTAGAATAAATAATTGATGTTTTGTACTATGATTAGGTTAACAGTTTTATAGTCGGAAAAGTCGTTATAATTCTTTGAAATCGAGTACCTTACTATTTACCATTTGAAGATAATTTTGTATATACATTGTCTGCCAATATATTCTCCTCGCTATATAGTTATGAACCTTCCATTGTTACAGGACTTTCGACTTTATGAGTTGAGGACACGTTGTTATTATTACAAGTACTATTGTAATAAAAAAAATTATCCTACGTAACATTATAATTTTTTTAAGTAGTATTTCTCTATTCTCTGATTTCCTTAGAATTATTTAGGAGCCGGAGACCTTTCATTTCGTATATTGAATTTGTTAACGCTAAATATGCTAAATTTGAGATTTGTTATTTTGTTTTTGATTTTGGACAGTCAGAAGTTAACTTCTTGGGAATGCTTTCACACCCAAACCTGGTGAAGTTATTAGGATACTGTCGTGAAGACAAAGAGCTTCTGCTAGTCTACGAGTTCATGCCTAGAGGAAGTCTAGAGAATCATCTTTTCCGACGTAATTAAGATCTCCTAAACACACAATACATTTTTCATCGTTATAACAACGTACTCATAGAGAGAAATTTGATTTACTCTGTATGATCTCCATTTTTGATTTAGGAAATGAGCCTTTTCCTTGGGACTTAAGGATCAAGATTGCTATCGGTGCAGCTCGTGGCCTCGCGTTTCTACACGGCTTACAAAGAGAAGTCATCTATAGAGATTTCAAAGCATCCAATATACTTCTCGATTCGGTTAGTCTAATTTAACACTCGCAATAAATAGATTAATGTGTAATCGGTATTTCCTTTCTTTGCTAATTAATGAAGTGTATTTGACAAATATGTGCGTAGAACTATGACGCAAAGATTTCAGATTTCGGATTAGCAAAGCTAGGACCAGCAGACGAGAAGTCACACGTTACGACCAGGATCATGGGCACATATGGTTATGCTGCTCCTGAATATATGGCAACAGGTACATATTTAAAAGAATATAAAAGTTACGGACTTACGGTACAGACCTTATGTCTATAGTCTTTTCTGAAATGCTAGTATTCGAAAACATTAATTAGTCTCTCTTTTTAGTTACACTAGTTGTACAGTTGAGTAGTTGACTTTGACTTAAATAATAAACACTTCGTGTCTATTGTTCATCCTCAGGGCATTTATATGTGAAGAGTGATGTATACGCATTTGGAGTGGTACTACTAGAAGTGATGACCGGACAAAAAGCGCACAACACAAAAAGGCCGAGGGGTCAAGAGAGTCTAGTCGACTGGTTAGGACCAGAACTCTCAAGCAAACATAGAGTGAAACAAATAATGGATAAAGGCATTAAAGGTCAATACACTACCAAAGCGGCGACAGAAATGGCACGCATCACACTCGCTTGTATCGAACCCGATCCAAAAAACCGACCGCACATGAAGGAAGTGGTTGAAGTCCTAGAAAACATCCGAAAACTTAATGTTGTCACTGACCGTTCTTCCACTAAACAGGCTGTTGCTAGCACGTCACGTTCTTCACCACTTCACTATCAATACGGATATAGAGCTGGGGCACTTGGGGCTGAACGGAGGAGAGCGGCGCCTGGACGGCTTGGAGTAGAAAAATGAATAGTTGTTTGATATATCTAATTTTTTCCAGCGGAATGCAATGGTATAAGTTTTTTTTTTTGGTTTACCTATGATTAAATCATTTCTTGTCATATTATGTGTGGTTTTTATAATACTTACATTTTTTAGATATATTTTTCACATTCTTTATATTACAATTTAATTTTCACTGGAACTCAGGAGAAATGTGTATATTGTCAAAATATTATATTTGTGTTGCGCAGATTGTAATATGCTCTTGCACAATTTTCAAATTAAAGAAAATGAGTTTATGCTAAGGGGTATTTTATACAAATTGTAATGATGGTTACTTATAGCGCATGGTGAAGTAATTTTTTCCGACATTGGGTAATATCCTGATGTAAAATTTACAAGTGTTATTTCACATCACGGTATATACATATAAATATATATATTTTTGCGCTTGCACAATGTTAAAGACATAAACGGTATAGCAAACAACTTAATCAGTAGAAGAAAAAAAATTATCTTACACATTACTGCATTAAGGAAGAAAAAAAAATCAATTGCCGTTCTTCTCATCATCATCATCTTTCGGTGGGGATTTATTAAGATCAAACTTGGCAATAGATCCAGATTCAGTAGCTTCTTCTCCTTTCTCCACAGGTTCAGCATTCAAATCAAGCCCTAAACTTCTTCCCCCTCCTTCTCCCGGAACCCTACCGACACCACTGGCAGAAGCCTCATCAGGTATTCCTCCTCCACTAGCATTAATATTCCCACCAGAACTTCCTCCTCCGGCAGTCAGAAGAACAAAAGCAGACTTACGTCCTGGAACCGCAATCATTTCAGCCGCCGCAGAGAACGTAGGAGGAGGAAGAAACCCTTGATAGCTTCTGTCCCTATGAGCCCTCATGTGTCCAAACACAGCCTTCCAAGAGCCAAAGGCTCTATCACAAATGTGACAAACCGGTGGTCCTTTCGGTGGATGATTCAATTGCGAACCTTTCTTCTTCGGCTTTTTAGCTTCTCCTGTACCCGAACCATCTGCTTCGTCATCAGTTTTCGTCGATGTCCTTGGTCTGCTCTTCTTCTTCTTCATCTTCCCACCACTCCCACCCTCGTCACTCTTCCCTTTCATAACAGCTTCCTCTGCCATAGCCATAACCAACTCAGCCGCAACAACCGCTTGCTCATTCAAACGTACTTGTTCTTGATTTTTCAATGCCGCTTCTTCTTGCTCTTTGGAACACGCTTCTTCTTGCTCTTTGGAACACGCTTCTTCTTGCTCTTTCAAAGCCGCTTCGTCTTGCTCTTTCATAGGCGCCTCTTCTTCATCTGTTTCAGAGACGCTACTTAGATCACCGAATATTCTACTGGTGATACTCAAAGCAGGGAGGCCAAGAACGATTTCTCTAGTCTCGGATTCATCATCGCTAAGTTGTTCATCAGACACATCTCTCTCCCCATCAGTATCATCAACCGCTTTCATCTTCTCTGGTTTATCAGTCATGTTTCTTTCGTACTTTCAGACAAGATACGGTGTAGAAAAACGAAAGAGTTAGTCTTATATAGAGTTAACTTAGTTTTGTCTAAGCCATGGCGGTTATGGCAGTTAAATCGTTGTGTTCGTTCGCTTTAAGATCTCTCTCTCTCCCGCCTTTTCGTCTGAAGAAGATCTGCGTACCACGTGCGTGATTCATCTGATTTTATGGGCTTAATATCGGCTAAAGCCCATTTATAGCCCATAACTTATTCGTACAGGGTGCCGTGGGTTTACTTCAAGTCCTGTATTTCTAGCAGTAACATTTTTTTCTGTGCGTTTTTTTGGTCATCGAGATTGCAAGACTCGTTGCGCTGCACTAATACTATTATCCATGTGACATCCGTCAATGACGTGACTTGTAAACTTTTGTATTGACATATTTTTTTTTGTCTTTTGTTTTATCATTACAAAATAATTATCATTTATTATATTCCAAACATTAATGTATACCGGTAACATTAGATATATAGTTTTCAATGTCAGAAGGAAGCCCTTGAATCTATGTAATAAAACCACAAATACTAAATTTAAAAAGAGTAATATGATCATGGATTGCAATGATTTAAAGCTAGTGTTTCCTAAATGCAGATAGTGGAACGAAAAAAAAATAGAAGAAGTGATGTATTAGTTATTCACCTTTACATTTCAACACTGAAACCTTTCTAGAGCCAAAACAAGAAAAAATGAGTAAAAGTTCTTATAAGAAACTTCTTCGATCATGTTTTGATGATTGGCAACAAAATTACGAATGCGAACTTATTATTTCAGTAGGTATATGCATTAACTAACTTTACATTTTTTTATTGGTTGGGTAGATAATTTTAAGTTTACACTCTTTCTCACATAGTTTAGTAATTGATTCGATATCATGTTGTTTTAAGTGTAAACTACTTAAAAGAATGAAGATGTTGACATTAAAAAAAAAACTGTGTTACTGATTGAAATTTATGAAAATAATGACTAGATCTTCTTCACACAATTAGATGTTATTTTGTTTAATGTTTATACAAGATTATGTTATATTACATTGATGATATAATCTTTAGTAGTTTTTTTTCCTAAATTTAAGAATATATATGTGAGGCAAATGTTTCAAGTATTCTTTGGAATAGTATCTAGACTCTAATCCAACTTTTAACACTTTTTCTGAAAAAACACAGCTAAAGATATGATCTAAAATTCAAATATGTAAAGATACATCATATATACATACAGTATTGAATGACAAATTAGAATCATAATCACCTTCTAATTGACCATTCTAATAGAGAAAGGAATAATTACAATAAGTCAATAACTATGACTAGAACTCAATCTAGCCTAAATTTTCGATCTCTCCAAAATTAAATATTAATCAAACAAAAAAACTTCACCAAAAACATAAAATGATAACTAAGATTAGTACTATATACAAATGGCAAGAACACTCGTAGTTACTACAGGCAGGGGGGTCAGCATAATTCTCGGTAACAATAATTCTTTGAAAAGAGAGCAAATACTCTTACTTAGCTCTGTAAATTACAAAGATTAATAAGCTAAGATTATGATTAGTTAATTAATATGTTGACTTTAAGATCACTCAGAACCGCGCCTAAGGGAGGAGGAGGCTCTGGCTTAGTTAGTGGCAACGAGCCTTATTTGTCTGTAAAAGGCAACAACGAACAAAAAAGAAATAGAAAAAGGAATATTTATAAAAATTTGAAATGAGAAGAGAAAGGCACATGCTGCTGCTGCTGCCTTCTTCAACCCAACCACACACAAAAAAAAAAAAAAAAAAGTTACCGTTGGCATTAGACTGACTTAGAAGCAAATCGTTTCCTTCATGATCCAACGGTCATCTTAATCACCTAGCCGTTGCTATTTTCTTCAATTACAATTATTAAAAGAAAAAAAAAGATATACAATATGTATATCCTGTAAAAAAAAGGCAAAAACTTTAATTTTTAATTTAATTTCTTGCCTCTTAATTCTTCTTATTTCAACCCTTTCTCTGACTCCTCCTGATTCAATCAATTGCATCAGACACAATTACAGAGAGAACAGAGAAGAAGAGAGAGAGAGAGAGATCCTTCTTCGTTTGATGCTCTTCTTCCTCTAGATTCTTGTCCCGGAACACTATCCTAATCGAGAAATAATGGTTAATCCAGAGACCAATCGTAATCTCATTGCCAAACCCATTACAGAGATTCATCTTCAAGGTAGTTGTATAACGAGTTTTGAGAGAATCTTCTGAGAATTCTAGGTCTCTCAAGAACAGAGATTCTGATTTTGATTTTTTTTTTTTTTTTTGCTGGGTTTTTGTCAGATGATGATACGAGAACCAGGAAATTCGGAATGGAGATGAAGAGACAGAACAGGAGAGCATTAGGTGTGATTAACCAGAACCTCGTTGGTGCAAAAGCTTATCCTTGCGTTGTTAACAAGAGAAGAGGCTTATCACAGTAAATTACTCAACTCTCTCCAATCCTAAAGCTTGTCTCTTTCGATTCAAATCTGTTCAAAGATTTCTTATTTCTTTTGGGTTTTTGTTGGTTTCAGGAGAAACCAAGGAAGCTGTGAGAAGAAGAAGCTTGATTCATTACATTCGTCAATTTCAAGGTCTATAAAGTTTAAAGCTTTGGAGAGAAAGATCCTCTGATTTTGTTTTACTGAGAGAGAGAGGATCTGAGATTGTTTTTTTGAATGATCTGCAGATCTCAAGAAGAGACGAAGAAGCTGAAACCATCGCCTCCAAGTGGAAACGAGTTCGGTGATTGTATATTCATTGATGACGAAGAGGAGAAGATTGGAGCTACATTGGACCAACCTATGCCAATGTCATTGGAGGAACTCTACATTGAATCTGATCCAATGGTAATTGTCAATCGATTACAATAGATCTTTAGCTTATAATGTAATATGTCTTAAGAAGCTTTTTCGTTTGGATAGGAAGAAGAAGTTGAGATGGAAGATATTACAGTGGAAGAAGAAGAAGAAGGAGAACCGATTTTGGATATCGACGGATACGATGCAAACAACTCTCTTGCAGCTGTTGAATATGTCGGAGATCTATACGAATTCTACCGTAAAACCGAGGTATGCTTTTTTTTTTATACGTCTCTGTAGATAAACTATAAGATTTTGAAAAGTTTCTGAGACAATGAATTTGGTAATCTGCAGAGGTTTAGTTGTGTTCCTCTAGATTACATGGCGCAACAGTTTGATATAACTGACAAAATGAGAGCAATACTTATCGATTGGCTCATCGAGGTATGCATATTCAGACAAGAACTGGTGGATTAGTTGCATATAGAGGCTAATTACGAAGCTCTTTGAATGTCTTCAGGTACATGACAAATTTGAGCTAATGAACGAGACATTGTTTCTGACAGTGAATCTGATAGATAGATTCTTGTCCAAGCAAGCTGTAGCAAGAAAGAAGCTTCAGCTTGTTGGTTTAGTTGCATTGCTCTTAGCTTGCAAGTACGAAGAGGTTTCAGTACCCATTGTTGAAGATTTAGTTGTCATTTCGGACAAGGCTTATGCGAGGAACGATGTTTTAGAAATGGTATAACCATAACATAAGAGTCTTTCTTGTTTTGTTTCCAAATCTTGGAAATTGTATCTGACTTCAAAAACCTCTGTGTGCAGGAGAAGATTATGCTTAGCACTTTGCAATTCAACATGTCGTTACCGACACAATACCCTTTCTTGAAGAGGTTCCTTAAGGCAGCTCAATCAGACAAGAAGGTAAATCAGTTAATCTATCACGGACTTGTAAATAATAGCATATACTCATCAAACATTGTGAATTTACACTTAACTTGTTTACTGAAACAGCTCGAGATCTTGGCGTCGTTCTTGATGGAGCTTGCTCTTGTCGACTACGAAATGCTTCAGTATCCACCATCCTTACTAGCCGCCACTGCAGTGTACACAGCTCAATGTACAATCCATGGCTTCAGTGAATGGAATAGCACTTGTGAATTCTACAGTCACTACTCTGAACATCAGCTCCTGTAAGTCATTTTTATCCATTTGCACAAAAAGGGTGTCCTAAAAGATTGATCTTTATAAACGAATCATAGACATAAACACAAAAGAACTAACCTTTGGTTAGAATTGCATCCATGAAAAGACTGATCTTCATATTAGAATTGCATCCATGAAAAAGGCTGATCTTTGAATCAAATTGTGTTTATTTGTGCAGAGAATGTTGTAGAAGAATGGTAAGATTGCATCAGAAGGCTGCGACGGATAGACTAACAGGAGTACTTAGGAAATACAGCTCCTCCAAATTCGGATACATAGCAACAAAGTATGAAGCTGCACACTTTCTTGTGTCAGATACTCACTAAAGAGAGGAAAATAGTAGTTTGTGTATAGCTGCTAACAATTTCCCTCTCATTTTTTATTACAAAAGAAACATCAACACAATAAGTTTGAAAATTCCTCTGAATTTGATCTGTAATTTTTGAAGTCTTTCTTTTATTGATATCTCAGCAATAAATTTTTTATAATATTCTGATTACAGATCATTCTCACCGTTCTCTTTTTTTTTGTCAGTAGATACAGATTCTTAAAATATTGATATTTAAGATTGAGAAGTTTAGTTTGAACTCTGTTTCTTCTACAAAACCTATAAAACACATTGGAAATGAGTGTTTTAATAATATAAACCGCAGACAAAACTAGTACTCACCTAACATAAGACGTTGTCGTTTTCAGTCTATATTTATATGTCTCTCTCCCACCTAACGATATATTTTGTAACTTAAAAAAAGTGTAAAGGCAAAAGAAAAGCTCCGAGAATCTCACAATCATGGCGGCGTCGACGAACTCTTTCCTTGTCGGAAACAACACTCAGATTCCTGTTTTGAAACCCAGATCAACATCTCAATCCTTTCTTCACCTCAGCAAACCAAACACCTTGAACCTCGCCGGCAAAACCAAGCCTGTCGCGGTTAGATGCGTCGCTTCGACGCCTCAAGTTCAAGACGGAGTTAGATCCGGCTCCGTTGGATCCCAAGAACGTGTCTTTAACTTCGCGGCGGGTCCAGCTACTTTGCCAGAGAATGTTCTCCTAAAAGCTCAGGCGGATCTCTACAACTGGCGTGGATCTGGCATGAGTGTGATGGAAATGAGTCATAGAGGCAAAGAGTTTCTCTCGATTATACAGAAAGCTGAATCGGATCTTCGCAAGCTCTTGGAGATTCCTCAGGAATATTCCGTGCTGTTTTTACAAGGTGGTGCGACTACTCAATTCGCTGCCTTGCCTCTCAATCTCTGCAAATCTGATGATACAGTGGATTTCGTTGTTACTGGCTCGTGGGGAGACAAAGCTGTCAAGGAAGGTAAAAAGTATTGCAAAACCAATGTGATTTGGTCTGGTAAAGCTGAGAAATACACAAAGGTTCCATCTTTTGATGAGTTGGAGCAAACTCCGGACGCCAAGTATTTGCATATATGCGCCAATGAAACTATTCATGGAGTTGAGTTTAAAGATTACCCTGTTCCTAAAAACCCTAATGGGATCTTGGTTGCTGATATGTCTTCTAACTTTTGCTCGAAGCCTGTTGATGTATCTAAGTTTGGTGTGATTTACGGTGGTGCACAGAAGAACGTTGGTCCATCTGGTGTTACTATTGTGATAATTCGTAAAGATTTGATTGGGAATGCTCAGGATACCACTCCGGTGATGCTTGATTACAAGATTCATGATGAGAACAGTTCGTTGTACAACACGCCTCCTTGCTTTGGGATTTACATGTGTGGTCTTGTGTTTGAAGATCTGTTGGAGCAAGGTGGATTGAAAGAAGTGGAGAAGAAGAATCAGAGGAAAGCTAATCTGCTTTACAATGCCATTGAAAAAAGCAAAGGCTTTTACAGGTGTCCTGTTGAGAAATCAGTGAGGTCGTTGATGAATGTGCCTTTCACATTGGAGAAATCTGAATTGGAAGCTGACTTTATCAAGGAAGCTGCGAAAGAGAAGATGGTGCAGCTCAAAGGGCATAGATCAGTGGGAGGTATGAGAGCTTCCATTTACAATGCAATGCCTTTGGCTGGTGTTGAAAAGCTTGTTGCTTTCATGAAAGATTTCCAGGCAAAGCATGCTTAAGTTTAAGGGTTTTGTTTTTGTTGTTGCATTTTGGTAATGTTTGTTTGGTAAAAAGCTTGAAGCTTATGATTTGGTTTTCTTTCTTTGTGGAATGAATAATGTTTAGCAATGTATCAAAATCTTTCTCCATCAATTGGAAAAGCAGGGTTGTTAACAAACAAAGAGCTTTCTTATTTGTTTGAAGTGATGAAAAATCGCCATTAGAGCGAGCATCTGCAGGTGGTTCTCATATTCTCTTTTTAACGTTTCCTTTCTCTGCTACTCCTGCAACTGGAGATCCTATTTTTCAAAAGAAGCAGAAACTCAATTCAGGTCACAAACTAAACTCTTGTTACACTGTATAAATAAACGGAGTTCAGAATAAGAATGTAAGATACCATTTGGTATTGTGTGTCTATAAGCAACAGCTACATTTTGAAAGAACTTTCTGGTAGCATCTGCATATTCAGTTGACTATAATTCAGTTCACTACTAAAACCTGAGCAGTGGAGAACAAAACCAGAGTACTATACTCATAATCAAGACTAACCACGTTCCATTGTCAAAGACGGATCTTGCTCATCGATAAACCCAATCAGTTTCGCCGGGTTTCCAGCCATCATGCTTCAGAAACCCCCCAAAGAAAATATCCATTTGAGGGATGTTTAAACAGAAAATCTCAAGGAGATTGATTTTTCAGTTGCATTTCAGTTTTATACCTATGAGAAGGAACATCCTTTAACACAAGCGAACCAGCAGCTATCATTGCTCCAGTGCCTATCTTAATGTTACCAAGTATAGTCACACATGCTCCAAGAAGAGCACCATCACCTATATTTGGATGGCGGTCACCAGTTTCTTTCCCAGTTCCTCCTAATGTCACACCCTGGACATGAAAAATACCAACTAGCTTCACTAAAGTTGATACTTCTGGATGTTTTTGGTGAAATGAATTCAGAGAAAAGATCTGTACATGTAAAATTGAGACACGGTCGCCTATCACAGCAGTCTCACCTATGACCACACCAGTTCCATGATCCAACAATATTCCCTTCCCAATTCTTGCAGCTGAACCAAAAAAAAAACAAGTTAATTAGTCTGATGCTAGATGTAAAAGCATAAGCAAGATATGAATCTGAAACTTACCCGGATGAATATCAATTCCAAAAACCTGAGAGAAACTAGCTGGATCAGAGGTTGTACACCAAACCAATAACAATAACCTAAGAAGCTGTGGAAGTTACAGTACCTCGCTTACTCGGCTTTGCAATGCTAATGCTAATAGTTTTCGTCCTTGCTTCCACAACTTATGCGCAACTCTATATGCCTCCAGCGAAAGATAGCCCTGTGGAACAAATTATTCTGGTAAAGTGCACATGAAAACTCACTTAGCAGTCGTTTTGTACCGGCATAAGCGTATTGTCGTTAAGTAATTGGTTAAGAAACTACCTTTAGATGTAAAATAGCAGAACTATACGATAAACAAGCAGGATCTCTGTCTTTGAATGCCTTCAATAAAATAAACACCACTGCAGTCAGATGATCTGACAATACTGTCAGAAACAAAACGAAGATTCAGGGATAGAAGATAAGTGTTTTTACCTGAACATCAAGGCGAATGGAGCTCTGAATACCTCTGTCATGTACCATAACATTGCAAAATATATCCATGAGTTGAGTTGCTAGCAAGGTAGGGTTTTGGAGACGATTAGCGAGAACAAAACTCAGGGCTTGCTCTAAACAGTCATGCGACAAGATACTAGCATACAAGAAGCTACTCAAAACCGGCTCCTTTTCTGCCTGTAAACAGACAACAACATTCACCATTGTAGAAACATAAAAACACACAAACTCTTGTCCTTAAGGATCTATATGTTGTCAATACAAAAATAACTACAAGATGGAGAATTCAACAACAGTATAAGACCTTAAAAATGATTATATAGTAGCCGGATGAGAGCTATACTTAACATCAAGGGAACATCTAAAAGGTATCATATGTAATTACTGTAAGTGGTTAAAGAGGCAGAGATCACACTTACTGAGCACTTGACCCCACGGTTTTGTCGGATTAATACAAAAGGTACACAATATTAATGTCTTAATCATAAACTTATGTAGACTTGAAGCAATGAAAGTTTACTATATAATATCAAAGTTTCTGTCGTTCCGGAATTGAAGGTATGTATATGAAAGAAAACTATGCAAGAACCGATTCTTATTAGAAAATATATGATCATGGAGAGAAAACCTCAAGCTTAGCTTCTGCTCTTATAGAATCCCAAATTGGGTCATAACCAGAATTGATAGAATCCAGCAAAACCGGGTCGGCCACGGGAATAAGGGCTCCTCTAGCGTAAACCGGGAAAACCCTCTCGAAAGGAAACTCATCGCCGGTCTCCACGTCGTCTCCGGCAGAAAAATCACAATTCCCACCGTTTAAACAAGACATGGCTGAAAAAAAGTAGCAAATAGGAGAGTAGAGAAGATAATAAAAATAATTATAAGTAGGAAACCCCTTTTAAAACACAGTGATTAATGATGCTTTCTCTTTACTGTGCTGTAATCGAAATGGCCACAATCAAAAAGACAAATGAAAACAAAAAAGTGAAACTGAAGTCTTGTGTTTGTGTCCACACTGTTCAATTTGGAATGTTTCATGAGAAATCAGATGTGGTCTTTCTCTCTCTTTCTCTTTGCTCTTGTGTTGTCATGTGTGTGGCCGTGATTCAGTCCAAGTTCTTAAATACCTGCGAGAGAATCCAAACTTATTTGGAAGTGTCCTTTACATGTAATACTTTAAGCGTACTACACGAAGTGGAAAGTGCACATATTTATTTTAAATTATCACAAAACAGCTTTCACTTTCAACATATACTAATTTTACAGCATGCTTCTTTTGAAATACTAATTTACAGAAACAAATAGATTGAACATAAAATAAGATGTTGTTTCTCGCATTAATTTGTTTTGTGACTATAAGGACAAAATATTATGTTCTTCTAGTTCTAGAAAGAAAACACCTTAATTACATAGGTGCATTAATTTAAATAACATCGTGTAAGTGTAACTTTAGAGATGATTTTGGACGAAGAAAAAAAAAAAAAAGAAAAGATTGATGACAAATTTCTTGATTTATTCAGCAGATGAGGCATACCAAGGATTATCATCACGCAAATTCGTTTTCGTATAATTTATATATTTTCCATTATGAAGATTGGTATTTAGTTTTCGACAAAATATTGATTTATTACTACTGTGAAGTTAATGAACGAATGAATAAAAGTACAAGACGTCAGAAAACAAAAATAATAATAATTGGGAAAAAGAAAAAGAATAAATCTGACAAAAAGGCATAAAACAACGCCGCATGCAAATCGCCGAAATCGACCAAAGTCGCATTGAAACCCTAAAAAGAAACTAAATCCACCAACAATGGCGAGAAGATCCGCTTCGATCCTCAGTCGCCTTCTGGCGAATCCGTCTTCTCCATTCATCGCACCGTCCCGATCCATCACCTACATGCCTAGACCCGGAGACGGAGCCCCACGAACCGTAACCCTAATCCCCGGCGACGGGATCGGACCTTTAGTGACCGGTGCGGTTGAACAGGTCATGGAGGCGATGCACGCACCGGTGCATTTCGAACGGTACGAGGTTCGAGGGAACATGAGGAGAGTCCCCGAAGAAGTGATCGAGTCTGTGAAGAGAAACAAGGTCTGTCTCAAAGGTGGGTTAGCGACTCCTGTGGGTGGTGGTGTCAGTTCTTTGAATATGCAGCTGAGGAAAGAACTCGACATCTTCGCTTCTCTTGTCAATTGCATCAATTTCCCTGGCTTAGCTACACGACACGAGAATGTTGATATTGTTGTCATTAGAGAGAACACTGAAGGAGAGTATTCAGGACTCGAGCATGAGGTTGTTCCTGGTGTTGTCGAGAGCCTTAAGGTAACAGCCATGATTCAAAAGATTTGGAAGAGATTGTTATCAGTCCAAAATTGTGCTCCTTTTGTTCACGTTGTTCAATATTGTTTGTGTAGGTTATTACAAAGTTTTGTTCTGAGAGGATTGCGAGATATGCATTTGAGTATGCATATCTGAACAATAGGAAGAAAGTGACTGCTGTTCATAAAGCTAACATTATGAAGCTTGCGGATGGGCTTTTCCTTGAATCTTGCAGAGAGGTTGCTAAACATTATTCAGGGATTACTTACAATGAAATCATCGTAGACAATTGTTGTATGCAGCTTGTCGCTAAGCCCGAGCAGTTTGATGTTATGGTAATGCTCTCCTTTTCCTAGTTATAAATCAAAACTTGAATAGGCAAAATGAGTCTTTCGTTTAAATGTGACCATCATTTGTATTACATTCTAATCTTTGTTTTTTTTCAGGTGACGCCTAATTTGTATGGTAACCTTATAGCAAACACGGCTGCTGGAATAGCCGGTGGTACTGGAGTGATGCCAGGAGGTTTGTCCATAATTATATGAGTTGAAGTTATAAACCTTTCTTAAATGACATGTCTTGGGTGTGTTTGTTGGGACAGGAAATGTTGGTGCAGAACATGCTATATTTGAGCAAGGCGCATCAGCAGGGAACGTGGGGAATGATAAGATAGTGGAGCAGAAGAAAGCGAATCCGGTGGCTCTACTTCTCTCATCAGCTATGATGCTTAGACATCTCCGGTTTCCTACTTTTGCTGATCGGCTTGAAACCGCAGTGAAACAAGTGATACAAGAAGGGAAATGTCGAACAAAAGATGTTGGAGGTGATTGCACCACCCAAGAAGTTGTTGATGCGGTCATAGCTGCTCTTGAGTGATTCCCCTGTGAGCCTCTCTCTGCTTCTTCGTATTCAGTCTTTTTGCATTCAAACTAAGAGAGAAACGTGTTGGTTTTCTCTGTTTTCCATTGCCATTGTTTTGTTTCTTGATTGATTTTATTTGTTATATTTTTTTCTCTTTTGACTCATATCCGATCTCGTGTTTGAGCATCTATGGTTACATAATAATAAAAGCAATAAAAGGCAGAACCGGTTCTGTCTTTCAAGCAAAGCTTTTGTTCTCCTTTTTGCATAAAAATGGTCCAATTAAAGCAGGCAAAAGATATTTTTACTTGAAGTAATCTTGGCTGTTCCGAAATCTGATTTTGACTTATATTTTCAGATGCTCACAAAGTTATGATATCTTCTAATTTACGTACATGAATACAAAGAAGCATAATATAAAACTTTAATTAGGGTTTTCACAGGGTATAAAACAGAGCAGCCATTGATGTAAGACTTTTGCTATAATTAGGGTTTTAACAGGCTACGACGCGCAAAGAGCAACGATTTTGTACCTCAGAAAGATTAAGAAGAAATGAAAAAAAGGGAATATCCTCATTCCCGTGTCTCATACGAGTACAATTCGTAAGGGCGATTTCAAAATACAACCTTCTACTTCTCTGTTTTTGTTCATCTGTTTCCGTTTTGTTGAGATCTCCCATCTATAAAATACATTAGTTGGGACATCATACCTTGATCAATAACAGCGATCTCAGAACAAAAGACATTCAAGAAGAAGAAGGACAACGGAAAGAAGGAAGTAATTTGCTTTTGAGAAGTTTTCTTGATTCTGAAGATATTGAAATGGCATCGAATAGTGAAGCAAGGCCTCTGCCAAAATTCGGAGAATGGGATGTGAATGATCCAGCGACGGCTGAGGGATTCACGGTTATATTTACTAAAGCCGGTGAGGACAAAAAAACAGGTCGGAGCTCTAGCAAGGCAACTTCACAGAGGAAACGAGACAACGCTAAACCAACGGCAAAGAAATGGCTCTGTTTTACATTTTCTTGATTTCTTGTAACCGACGTAATCGTTTGAGAATAGCATTGAGAAACTTTTGTCGTAGAACTTTTATCATTTCTTTAGCGTTTCTCTTTATAACATGTTGCAGAGCAGAGATGGAAAAGGGGTAGCTTCTTGTATATTCTGTTTGATGTTTAATGTTTTGTTTGTAAGTTTAAGACTATATTTTGACAACCTTCTTTGATTCAAATGAACATGCAAAATCTATAGAGAATCAGTATACATTATCAAAGCCATTAAATCAATAGAAATGCGTAGACGTAACAAAAACATACTGACTAATACATAACTGTTGAGAAATGTTAGGCTTGTTAGCATTGATATTGTCCTATTCCCTGGGGCATACATGGGTATGTTTCTTAGTATTCTTACTTTTATTGTCATCTACACTCTTCTTGCAAGAAATATATTTGGAGCAAATTATGTGATATTTATCAATACTTTTACTAGTGTTTGCCCTAGTGGTTACTCAAGATTTATTTTTTTTGCTTTGTGTAGATATCCAAGTCTCAACCAAAATTTAGATATGTTCTCTGGTTATCCAGACAACAGTATCTGATCAAAGATTGTTCTGTTCTTTTCTCTGTGAGCAGAAGTTAGATACCAAGCGATACGGCAATCTCCGGTGATTACTTTCTCCAAAAGACAAAAGGAAAGAAACCAAAAGAAGAATTATTTTTAACACAAGGGCAGAGTATTGTGACGTTTCAGTGAAATTAGACTGCTAATCATTGAGAGCCAAAAGAGAAGACAATGTTCATGGGATCAATTAGTGAAGATTTACAAAGGACAAGTGGTCAACATTGTGGTAATACTCTATTCTTCTTTTCTGATGACTCACTTCAAATTATTTGGTTAATTGAATTCCTTTTCTTTGTGTGGTTTATTTCTTCTCTCTTATGTGATGTTCTCTCTACATATTAGTGTATTGCAACTTCTGTCTCTTTGTCTCCCATTAAAATAATAGAAAGCTTACGTAAATAAATACACACATGAGTAGGAATTGAATACGTACCACGACTTTATTGAACAAGATTCTCCTACTACTCTCTTAAGTATTGTTTTAAACCCTAGATTCTTGGACCTATATAATGGCCTTAGCTAGCTTTTTTTTTCTTTGCGCATCAAGATTTGTTTATATCTCCTTGGAAAACGTTTCTCCGAGCTGTCGTGTTTTTATTTCCTGATGAAACAGATCTTTGAGTTTGCCAGCGATGATGAAGGAGGCAGAGAGGGACAAGTTAGGAGACAAGATAATCATAGTAATCAAGAAAGCTTGACGTTGCTGGTTTCATGACCACATAAAAGATGATTAAATTAAGCAAAAGGTTATAATTGTGCAAATATTCTCATTTTATACACATGCCCAATTTGCTCTTAAAAAGGTGCCTTTTGGATTTATCTGCTACGGTTTCCTCTATTATATACCTTTGGAGTCTCTGAACCTTATTGACCCACCAAAACCCATTTCAAAGTTTGAGGCTTTTGGGTTCTCTGTTTTTTCTTCAGAAGCTAAAAATGGCAGAATCAACTTCCTCTGGGGCGACCACCTATGTACCTGCTAGGTCTATTAGTTTGCCTACAAGACTAATCCATCCTAAGGCACAGAGAGTTGAAGAAGAACTGAAAAAGATTCAAGCTCTAAACTCTTCTTCATCAGCTTCTTCTCGGATCCAACTTGGACTTGCCAAGCTCGTCGAGCTCTATGAATTTGTCAATGAACAAGTCATATGTTCTCCACAAGGGCAACAAGCTCTCAGCCTTTCTCGCAACGCCAAACTTGTGGAAGACGCTCTTGATGAATCAATCTTGTTACTCGATGTCTCTGACTTCACAAGAGACTTGATAGAAACATTCACAGAGCAAATCCAGGTTCTTCAATCTGCGCTACGTAGACGCGGAGGAGATCTCTCTTCCGTTCAAGCCGAGATTCAAACTTACATAAGCTTTCAGAAGAAATTCAAGAACGCAGCAGCGAGACAACTTAAATCCCTTGCAAGAACGCAACCAAAGAAGAAATCTGCAGTTATCAAACAATCCGGTGATCTCGATCAACATTCTACTATGGTGTCCAACATCCTAAGTCAATCAAACGCATCATCAATCTCTATTTTCAAGTCACTCTTGCAGTTTCTTTCTTCTCCCGGTGAGAACCAGAAGAAGAATGGTGAAAATAACTTTACACAAGCCATTCATAGCCTCAAAGCAATGGTTTTGGGTTCTTATCCCATTTGGGAACAAATATCAACAAGTATGCTCGGGGAATTAGCTGTGCTTAATTTTAGCCTTGAAGCAATTAAGGATGAGTTAAGTTACTTATCAAGACGCCTTATCCAACACAGAGCGTCTCTCTTGAACATTGTGACTCCTTAACAAAGAAATTAAAGTCTGTATATTTTGTGTAAAATGTAAATCCAGGTTTTGTAGAGATAAAATTATTTTAGAAAAGGAGTTATTCGCATCTTTGACTACTGTCTAATTAAATGAAATAACCAAAAAACAAAAGATGGAGCATGTGTATATATTCCTAAGCCTATGTGGAGCATCATCACCATCAATTCATCATCATCGCTCAGTTAAGACATCACATGCTGAACAAACTTACCAAACTTGAGTATTATTGTCTTCTAGCTTCGTGTCGCTCACGTCACGTGCTTGTCGTGCGAAATTATCTTTACCATTGGGTTTTTATTATTTTTATGTTTTATTTTGAGCAAGAGGTTTTTATTAATTATCAATTTTTATACTGTATGACATGTTATTATTGGTGTACGATGATGGTCCACGAGAGCACACAACTCATAAACAATTATATGTTTCTTCCCCAATAATAAACAATTTAAATTAAAAGAAATTAGATGGAATTCGTTATTTATTGGTTCATTCTATGCCAACGAGAGCATACATTCCATCTTATATGGTTCACAGTTTAGAGAAATCTTGTGGAGTATAGATAGTGATTAATGGTTTTTTTTTTTTTGGGTCAAAAGTGATTAATGGTTTAAATCTAGTACAATGCATAAGAATGTTTTGATTTGTATGGTCCCAATCAGGAAATTTATTAGTATTCTGTATGAACTCATATTCTACTAAAAACGCAAAATTTAAGCAATGTCACATTTATCATGGTCTAAGACCATCTTAACTCGTAAACACACTCCCCATAATTTCCAAAAACCAATTAAATAACTATATTTAATTAAATATATTTTTTTTATCTTTATTTTATTAACGAACCAATAAAACACTGACAACTGTTGAACAACGTGTCTTAAGTGGCTTGTTTAAGCCACGTTTCTCTATCTCTCTCCTACTTTTCTTGACATTTATCGTTATTTTAATAATGAGTATATGCTTAAAAACATTTGCTGGAAATGCTCTAATATGTTCATGAATTCTGAAATCCGCCTTAACCATATCCTAATAACTATTTTGCGCTTTACTCCTCCTTGAACTCCGACCAATTTTTTTGGCTTTGACCACTACATTTTTCATTTTACCGAGTCCTTAAAATCGGCGGCCTCAATGAGATCTCTATGTATAGTAAGTATTATATAAAGGACGTAAAATTTAGGTACTATGTATACTTCATATGTACTTAGATTCACATAACTGAAACACATACAACATACCTATACATTCAGTGGATTTTCGTCTTCGCCATTTCACGATGGTACACATCATGATCAAATTATCAATCCACTTTTCTAGTTGATTTTTTTTATTACTTGTTTATACTAACATTTTTGTTTTTTGAGTGTATTAGGAAACCACATTACGTATTTGGATCTTGATAAGTTTCTTATATTTTGTTCTCGTAAATGGTCAAAATTACAATGTACTCAATTTTGGTGCTAAAGGAGATGGTCAAACTGATGATTCAAAGGTAAACTATATATGTTTTAGCTTTTTTTTTTCAATCCAAAATATATAGCTTTTAATTATGTTTTCTTAATGATTCTTATCAGAAATTAATCTTGACTAATTATCTTCTTTAAACAAATAGTTAAATGTTCTTAAAACCAATTATGTTCAAAGGTTTTTGTTCAAGCATGGAATGCGATATGTCGTGGAGACGGAGACATCAAAACACTTCTTATTCCCTCTGACAAAACATTTTTACTTCAACCTACAGTGTTCCAAGGTCCATGCAAATCTAGCTCTATAAAGGTTCAGGTACGTGGGCGATTAAATCTTTTTTTTTTTTTTGACAAAAATTTAAAAAAAAAATAGAAGTACAGTAAAAAAAAAATTTAAAAATCTTTTTATAGTTGGATGGAGTTATCGTCGCACCTAGCGACAAAGGATCATGGCCCAACCCCACATCTAAAATGTGGATCAAATTTTCATATGTGTATGGTTTAATCATCGTTGGTTCGGGAACGATTAACGGTCGTGGTTCATCTTTTTGGGAGGTGACAATTCGATATATCACAAATTTTATTCTTTTTTAAAATAAAAATTCATCGTAACAAATCATACAAGTGTTTTTCGATTTCAGCTAAAGTTGAAAGCTTCTCAACGACCAACAGTGAGTATTTCTACTAAAAACTATATATCCATTATTTGGAAGAAAAAAAACATTATTGATTACAATAGCCATATATTGTATTGCTATTTTTTTGTTTTTTTGTAGGCATTACATATTAGTAATTGCGATAACTTGAGGATAAACGGGATAACCTCAATTGATAGTGCAAAAAACCATTTATCAATCAACAAATGCAATACTGTTGCAATATCCAAGATAAATCTTTTTGCACCCGAGACAAGTCCCAATACTGATGGAATTGATATAAGTGATTCAACTAATATCAACATATTTGACTCTACAATTCAAACTGGTGCGTGCATTACTAATAATTTTGAAATCTTGTTAATACAAATGAAACAGTCATGCTTTTATGTACTTGTTATTTCTTTTGTGAAAAGAATAAATTATAATATTTTCAATAATTAAATTCTCAGGAGACGATTGCATAGCAATCAACAGTGGAACTTCCAATATCAACATCACAGGAATTAATTGTGGACCAGGTCATGGGATAAGGTAATTCATGATATTAGTTATACAAAAAAAATTCACATTATGAATAAAAAGTTTACTCACAAAAAAAAAAAAAAAAGGTTCAAAGTATTCACATATTTAATTATTATGGGACAACAGCGTAGGAAGTCTTGGAGCCGGTGGAGCAGAGGCTACGGTTAGTAATGTACAAGTGAGTCACTGCACTTTCAACCAGACGGCTAATGGAGCTAGAATCAAGACATGGCTGGTATATACTATTTATTTTTATATACTAATTGTTACCTCTTATAATTAGACTAATACTAATCATTCAGTTATATGTATATATATATATATATATATATATATCTATTAATGTAATTTTGATATTTAGGGTGGACAAGGATATGCAAGAAACATAAGTTTTACCGATATTACACTCATTAACACAAAAAATCCGATTATAATAGACCAACAATACATTGATAAAAGACATCTTGCTGCAGAGGTAAAGATCTTTTTAGTACATAATGAATAAAATTATATATATCTTATTTGTCTGCATAATTGCAATTGTGAAAATATATATGTATTTTTATGTCTATTAGGAATCAGCGGTGGCGATTAGCAATGTAAAGTATGTCGGCTTTCGCGGAACAACATCGAATAAAAATGCTATAACGCTTAAGTGTAGTGAAACCACACATTGTAGAGACGTCGTTATGGATGGCATTGATATAACCTTGGCGGATGGAGGAAAACCTAAAGTTGATTGTCAAAACGTTGATGGAAAGTCTAGTGATATTGATCTGATGCGGGACTGCTTTAAACATAGCACTAGTTTTAACTAAGGATGTCCATTAGAAAACGAAGGCATAGGGAGCCAAAAAAGATGCAACGCAACTAGGAATCGAAAGAGAGCAGGGTGAAATTAGAACATGTAATTGCAATCTTTCTCAATCTATGACGTCTCTCTGTGTTTCAATCTTTTTCAATCTATATGATATATTTATCGACAGTGTTTTGGGATTCAAAGTTTCCTTTTCTTACACTTGTCTGTTATTTCCCTTCATTTACCTCAATTGGGATTCAAGTTTTTTTCTTTTTCTTTTTTCCTTACTCCTCTATGTTTTTTTACTTGTTGTGATGATTATTACTTACGTTTGTCTGTTTAAAAATCAATAAATACTTGTATTTTATTGTAGCCTTTTTTTGTCTTTATAGAAGGGAAATTGAAAAAAAAAAATCGCAATTTGTTACCTGAAAGATTCTTACGCAATTTTGTTTTTGTTAAAGCATATGTAACTCAAGCCAAAGAAGACAAGTCTTAGCTTAGTTCTTTGAAGCCGGACACATTTAGTTTAGATCTCTTTTAACCAAAATTATATTTTGCCCTGACACAAAAAAAAAACAGTTGGTATGGAAAAGAAACGAACAAGAAACTGATTTTAAAATATAAGTTTGCAAGACAAAAGTTGTATAGATGCATAAGAAGAAGACAAAGAGGAACATGAGTCACTGTCACTGACCATAAGCGATGATATTTTTCATGTGTTAAAAACAAACAGATCATAATAGTGACCCATGTTCTTCTCACATGTTCCCACATTGTTGACCCGAGGATTTCTCTGTTCTTGAGCTTCTCTGCAATATATATAGAAACCTTCAAGAAGAACCCTAATCGACCATCTCAATTTCTCAATCCAATTTAGAGTTCTGAAAAGAAACAAAACTTATGGAAGGTTTAGATTCGCTCTTCATGTCTGATCAAACTACACACCAACCAGTTCGATCTGTGAGTCTTCCTTCAAGAATCCATCCACTCTCTGTTAAACTCAGAGCAGCCTTGAACCGACTCAGCATCTGGCGTAGATCTTCGTCCTCAATCTCCGTATCCCCTTATTTTGGGTACGAGACGCTTCTCGTTGGACTCGTGAACCTCGCGGAGTTCTACGGTTGCGTGCATGAGCTACTTGAGTCCTCTTACGTGAAACACACTCTTCTTCATCGCCAGGAAGGGAAACTTCTAGCGGATTCGTTAGATGGGTCTGTTGTGTTGCTCGACGTGTGTGAGTCCACAAGGGAGGTGATTGTCGTGATGAGAGAACACGTTGCGAATCTCAAATCTGCTCTTCGTCGGAAAGGTAGCGTAGTAGACAAGGAGGCTAAAACATACGTTAACTTCCAGAAGAAGGCAAAGAAACAAATCTCTAAACACATCAATGCACTTAAGAAAATGGAAACCAAAGACATTTCCACCAACATATATCAAGATTCAGCGATAGCATCCACGAGTGTTCTGAGAGAGACAATTGATATCACTGTCTCGATTTTCAGACATCTTTTGTTGTTCCTATCAGCAATACCGCCGGCAAAGAAAACCAGGAACACCGTAGGGTTTTTGTCGATTCCTTTTGTATCTTCGTCGTTGTTAGATAAATCTCTGGATATGAGAAAGGAAATGAAGAATCTCGATGATGTCTTCCTGGGTTCTTTTGGTTTTGAAGTCGAGCCAATGCAGAACGAGAAAATGAGGAGAGATGTTGTTGAAGATGGTTTTCGTGATCTGGAGGCAGAACTGGACTCTGTTTCCAAGTGTTTGGTTAAGAATAGGGTTTTGTTCTTAAACATCCTCAGTAACTGTTGAGACTGAGCTTTTTTATCAGCAGATGTACAAGTTTTTTCCTCAAATTGTCGTTAAATAAAAGTGAAAAGTAAGAACTAGGAAACCAGAATCTCAGTTTTGTATAGCCGTAAACCGGCTGCTTTGTCTAAGAAAAAAGAAACGATTTTGGTAAAACCTCCCATCTGTACATTGTAGATTACTCGAATTTGGATTTGTGTCTATGTAAACAGGATGTCACGATCTGAGAACACCAAAGAGCATCTACTTCAAATACCAAATTCATTATGTAACTGTGACACAGGAGGAGCCATCCTTTAATTAAAAGGAGCATCCTTTAATTTCGGTGGCACAAACAGTTCGACCTTAACAGTTAGTTTCCTTCCTCCCAGTTCACTTCCATTAAGTTCCATCACCTTCTCATCAGTATCAGCGTCCTCTCCGATAATAACAATAGAAGCATGGCTGTTATATATAAATAAAAAAGGAAAAGGTTTGATTTCGTTTTTTTGAGGTAGCATCAGTTAAACATGTTCCCAAGTAGCTGGTTAATGTCACAAAGAAGCCACAAACCTGTCGACAACATTGGTTTCAGGGTTTGTGTCAAGAAAGACTCTACCGATTACTCCACATGACTTGAAATGATTGATCAACGACTCCTTGATCTCATCCGCAGGGAGCGAAGTGTCGAACCCCTCAACGTCAGCATACCAACTACAACAATTCTCAATATTATTATCAACACATGGTGAAGAACACATCTTACATGAACAAATCTCGAAATTAAACAAAGCATCAATTTTACCAGAATCGTGGTTTCAGATAATAGGCTCTTATTTCAGGATCATCCAAAATTCGCCATCCCTAAAGTACAAAATATATAATCAGATGTATTGTCTTACATAGGCAGAATTAAAAAATACCATTAATCGAGGAACAACAGAGAGGCATAAGGAGAAGAATATTACTCCGACGACGGGAGGATTCTGACGACCGGAGATGGAAAGATCCTGACGACCGAAGACGGAACCGTACATGTTCTGGAGAGGATGAGAAGAAGCAATAACCCTAGGGTATGATACTCAGTTTTAGGGATTTCAGAGGACGAGGACGAAGCTATTTATTTCTTTGCTTAATGCTTATTTCGGTTCTATAGTTTTGGGCCAAACATGTTTTCATAGTTGGGCTTACAGAATACATGGCCTGTTAACACACAAAAAAAAAGTTATAAAAATATATATATATATATATATATGCTGAGCTTTTGTCTCGAGAGAATGAGAGCATCGATTGATTCTCTATTCTCTGTGTGCAGTACACGTGGTCCGAGTCCGATACTTGTTTTTTTCTCTTATTATTCATGTTAGAAACAAACTCAGATTAGTAACCCATGTTCCCACATTGTTTACCCGAGGATTCCCCTGCAGTTTATATATAAATGCTCAAGAAGAACCTTAATAGAGCATCTTAATCCAATTTAAAGTTCTGACAAACAAAACCTATGGAAGGTTTATTTCGTTCTTCATGACTGATCACACTATACACCACCCAGTTCGATCTGTGAGTCTTCCTTTAAAACCCATCCACTCTCTGTCTCTCTGTTAAATTCAGAGCAGCCTTGAACCGGCTCAGCATCTGGCGGGGATCTTCTTCTTCAGTCTCTGTTTCCTCTGTTTCTTAATCACCAGGAAGGGAAACTCTTAGCAGATTCTTTAGATAGGTCTGTTGTATTGTTCGACGTGTGTGAGTCCACAAGGGAGGTGATTGTCGTGATGAGAGAACACGTTGCGAATCTCAAATCTTGCCTTCGTAGGAAAGGTAGCGTAGTAGAGAAGGAGGTTAAAACATACATTACCTTCCACAAGAAGGCAAAGAAACAAATCTCTAAACAGGTCAACGCACTAAAGAAAATGGAAACTAAAGAGACAAATATTTTGTTATGCACCTTGAGAAGACCACCATGGGTTTTTTTGTCTATTCCTTTTGTATCTTCATCATTATCAGATAAATCTCTGGATTCTATAAAGGAAATGAATAGTCTTGCTGATGTCTTTATGGGTTCTACTGTGGATTCAAGAAGAAACTTTTTCGAAGCCGAGACAATGCAGAACGAGAAGATGAGGAGAGATGTTGTTGAAGATGGCTGTCTTTATCTAGAGGCAGAACTGGACTCTGTTTCCAAGTGTTTAGTTAAGAACAGGATTTTGTTCCTTAAAATCCTCAGTAACTGTTGAGCATTTTTTCCTCATATTGTCTTTGTTTGCAAAAAAAAGTAAAAGTGAAAAGTAAGAAGTAAAAGAAACCAGAATCTCAGTTTTGCACAACTTATTAATACTAATACAGCAAAAGAGTATTCCACCAACGCTCCCCTTTTTTGGGCTTAGGACCTTCTCTTCGGCTTAGAGTCTTTGTCTAGGTTTTGAAGAGATCTTTTGGAAAGAAACACGCTCCCTGCAGCCGCATTCCACTGTTTTTCACTTGTTTTCACTAGTTTTTGTCCGAATCCACAAGAACTTGAGTGTTTTTCGTACCTAGGGTTCTTCATTCTGGGTTCTCACTCTCTTTTCAAAGTAGTGTCACTCACCTCTTCGCTGCTGTTTCGCTTCTGGGGTTTCAGCTTTACTTGTCGGTGTGTGGGTGTCTCTTTCGAGTTCGTTTGCGCAAGTTTCAAGCCTCTGTTTGGCCTGGTTTTTAGCCATGTCGTCGGCTATGGACAAGGCTCTTATGGCTATGTCTTTGGAAGAAGAAGAGGAGGATCTACCGTTTCAAATGCCGGATCTGCCAGAGTTTTTGTCTGTCGAGAGAAATGTTATCAGTCTCATAGGTCGTACTCTGAACCCGGACTGCCAGAAAATGAAGAATCTCATTCGTGATATGCCAAGGAAATGGCAAAAGCCGGGAAGAATGAGGGGAGTTGCTCTCTCGAAGGAAAAATTCCAGTTCATTTTCGACTCTGAACACGACCTGAAGGAAGTGTTAGACAAAGGACCTCACACCTATAATGAATGGTCCTTGGCTGTTGATCGTTGGTATGAGAATCCGCCCCTAAACTACCTGCAAACCATCCCTATTTGGGTCCAGATCTCGAATCTACCTGTTAACTACTACACGTCAAAGGCTATAACGGCTCTGGGAGAGCTGCTTGGTGAGGTTAAAGAAGTCGCCTTTGACCCAAATGCCCCCCAGGTGGATGGGTATGTGCGGGTTAAAATTTTATTCGATGTTTCTAGACCACTCCGACGATCAAAGGTCCTGGCGCTGCCAAAGGGAGGATCAACAACTATCCGCTTCCAATATGAAAAAATACAAAAGAGGTGCTATGAGTGCCAAAGGTTAACACATGAGAAAGATTTCTGCCCGATACTGGTTAAGAGAAGACAAGAGGTAGCTGAGGCTAGAAGAGCGGGAGTTTCAACTTTAAAAGGCAGCAAGGAACCTTTCTTAAAGGAATCAGACCCTTTGTTTGGGGTTCTGAGGGAGAACCAAGTGGGTATCGATCCTATGACAGGAAGACAGAGGATAGCTGAGGAGGTATTGGAAGGTATGAGGCAATACCTAAAAGCCAATACCAATGAAGATCTGCAGATCAAAGTAGAAAGGGTTAAAAAATCGGTTGGAGAAGTCGAAAAGGATCCTTTAGCTCAGAAGTCCATTCTGAGGTTAGAAAGTCCTCCCATCATCCATCAAGATGTAAACAAGAACAAAGGCCTAGTCTTTGGTTATGAGAGCTCGACCTCGTCTATGATACAGAGGATTCCTGTCACCAATGCCATGGCAGTGGAGAGGAAGTTCAGGTCTAGGCCTGTGAACCCTGATCTTTCTATCCGGATGGAGGCTGAGGATTCTTCTTCTTCTGACCTGCCAGGTTCCTTTCTAGCTTTGTCCCAGCCTTTTCAGGATGGTGCAACGGTTTTTAGGCCCGGCTCCTTTGCAGCAGGGTCTTCCGGCACTATCCTCAAAAAGCCCAAAGCTAGACGTCGGCCCCAGAGGAATGCAAGGAAACCCAAGCCAAAGCTTCCAAACATTGCTGAGGGAGATATTGAAATCCAAAAGGGTCTAGAACAAGGAGTTAAAGAGAAGAGAAAAGCAGATGAGGAGGGTATAAGCACTGCAAAATCCACAAAGCTTAACCCCAGAGAGGTAATCCCAAATGAGGGATTGCCCAACCAGCAATGAGCATTCTGAGCTGGAATTGCCAGGGATTGGGACGGTCTCAAGATCTGGCTTTTCCCCGTCTCAAGGAACTCCGTAAAAAGTACTTCCCTGAGATGTTGTTTCTGATGGAGACTATGCACAGTAGAGATGTTCTAGTGGATTTGCAAGGTTTTTTAGGGTATGATAGAGTATATACGATCCAGCCTGTTGGGAGGTGTGGTGGTTTAGCAGTTTTTTGGAAAGGAAGTGTAAATATTGACTTTATCTTTGCGGATAAGAATATGATTGATATGCAAGTGCAGTTTGGGGCAGCAAATTTCTATCTATCTTGCATTTATGGCGATCCAGACTTCAAAAAAAGACAAGTGGTGTGGGAAAGAATTAGTAGGATTGGCATTGTGAGAAAGGAAAGATGGTTGATGGTTGGGGACTTTAATGATATATGCCATAATGGTGAGAAGATAGGGGGCCCTAGACGATGTGACTCTCTGTTCAAGCCTTTCAATGAAATGCTTAATGCATGTCAGATGATGGAGCTCCCAAGTAATGGTAATAGCTTCACCTGGGCAGGTAGAAGGTATGACCTTTGGATCCAGAGTAGGCTGGACAGGGCTTTTGGGAACAAAGATTGGAATAATGCCTTCCCTGCCTCCAACCAGCTTTTCTTAGAGATGAGGGGCTCTGATCATAGACCTGTTTTGGTCACCCTCATTGCTTCTCAGGACCAGTACAAAGGCCTTTTTAGGTTTGATAGTAGGTTTCTCAACAAGCCGAGAGTGAAAGAGACCATTTCCAGGGCTTGGGGATCCAGAGAAGCAGATTTGAGAAATCCTGTTGCAAACAAGTTAAGAGTGTGTAGGAGAGCTTTGAGTTTGTGGAAGAGAGAGAATAACTTGAATTCTCAAGGTGCTATAAGAAAGATAGAGCTGGATTTGGAACAGCTGCAGTCGTCTCTAAACCCAAATTTCTACAAAGTGGTGCACATGAAAAGGGATCTAGCAAAAGCTTACAGAGAGGAGGAGATATATTGGAGGCAGAAAAGTCACCAAAAGTGGATGCATTGTGGTGACCGCAATTCTAGGTTCTTCCATGCTTCGGTCAAAGAGTCAAGGTCAAGGAATGGGATTGAAAAATTGGTGGATGTCAATGGTAATGAACAATTTACAGAAGGGGCTAAAAGTGAAGTGGCTTGTGCTTATTTCCAGAACCTGTTCAAATCATCTAATCCAACCAGTTTTGATGATTGGTTTAGTGACTTTCAACCAAGAGTCTCAGCTGAGATGAATAACAACTTGATGCAAAGGGTTTCAAGGGAAGAAATAAAAGAGGCTTTGTTCTCGATTGACCCGTCTAGTGCTCCTGGTGCTGATGGAATGTCGGGGCTTTTCTTTCAACAATACTGGGATGTGGTGGGTGAGCAAGTAGTAGCGGAAGTCCAGAACTTCTTCCCTAATGGAGTTCTCCCCCATGAGTGGAATTACACTCACCTCTGCCTCATCCCCAAGATCCCCCACCCTACATCAATGCCTGATCTTCGGCCAATCAGTCTGTGTTCCGTGCTGTATAAGGTCATCTCTAAAGTTTTGGTGAGAAGGATGAAGCCCTTCCTACCTCACATAGTCTCTGATACGCCATCGGCCTTTGTTGAGGATAGATTAATTTCTGACAACATCCTGATAGCACATGAACTCATACACGCCCTTAACACCAAAGAGGCTTTTGCAAAACAGTTTATGGCCGTGAAATCAGATATGTCCAAGGCCTATGATAGAGTGGAATGGGCATATCTGAGATCTCTGTTGGGGGCCTTGGGTTTCCACCAGATTTGGATTGAGTGGATAATGAAGTGTGTCTCAACTGTTACTTATTCTGTCCTAATCAATGGGAAAGCATCTGGGATGATCATACCAGAGAGAGGTTTGCGACAAGGAGACCCCCTTTCTCCCTCCCTTTTTGTATTGTGCACTGAAGGCTTAACTCATTTGTTAAACAAAGCACAAATTGAGCAGAAGATAACAGGATTCCAGTTTGCAGCAACAGGACCCGTGATTCACCACTTGCTGTTCGCAGATGACAGCTTGTTTCTGTGCAAAGCAAACAAGGAAGAAGCTGAATCTTTGCAGGAGATTCTAACAGCCTATGGAGCAGCCACAGGGCAGGTCATAAATGTCAACAAATCCTCCATATCTTTTGGCAAAAAGGTTCCTAATCTGATAAAGGAGGAAGTTCAAGGAGTTATAGGTATCTTTAACCATGGAGGGGCAGGTTCTTATCTAGGGCTACCAGAATGCTTTAGTGGCTCCAAAATTGATCTCCTTAACTACCTCAAAGACAGAGTCCAGAACAAGCTCTCAGGATGGTACTCTAGAACCTTATCCCAGGGAGGAAAAGAGGTTATGCTAAAATCAGTGGCCCTAGCTATGCCTGTCTTTGCCATGTCTTGCTTTAAACTCCCAAAAAAGACATGTGCAAACTTGGCAAGTGCTATGGCTGATTTCTGGTGGAATTCTCAGGAGCTTGCTAGGAAAATCCATTGGAGAAGTTGGGAAAGGTTATGATTACCAAAACACCAAGGTGGAATGGGGTTTAGAGATATCCCTGGTTTTAATCAAGCTCTATTAGCTAAGCAAGCTTGGAGGCTGTTTCAGGAACCAGAGTGCCTTTTCTCTCGGATTATGAAGAGTAGATACTTCTTAGACCATCATTTTTCTGCTGCCAGCATAGGTAACAGACCCTCTTATGGTTGGAGAAGTATTCTATGGGGAAGAGAGCTACTTGGACAAGGCCTGGTGAAACGAGTGGGTAATGGGGCCAGTTTAAGAGTCTGGAATGATCTCTGGGTGGAGGACAATGGTATGAGAGCTCCCTTTATCAAAAACCCGATCATTGACATCAGTCTTAGAGTGGCTGACCTTATTGATGTGGGTAGAAAAGATTGGAAGATCGACAAGCTTGATGAGCTGTTTTACCCAGAAGACGTGGAGAGGATCATGAAGAATAGACCTGTGGTGTCTATGGAAGATTTCTTTACTTGGAAACACAACAAGAGTGGTGATTATTCGGTCAAGTCGGGTTATTGGCTAGCCTTTCAAATAAATAAGGCTCCTCTTATTGAAGAGGCAGTGACATTACCTTCTACCAATGAACTCAAAGAAAAGATTTGGAAACTTCAAACAGAACCGAAGATAAAGATATTCCTGTGGAAGTTGCTTTGTGGTGCCATTCCTGCTGGAGACCGTCTAGCCAGTAGGGGTTTAAAAGTTGAAGGCAGGTGCCAGGTCTGTGGGACACAGGGGGAGTCCATTTGCCACGTTTTGTTCTCCTGCTCGCTAACTAGACAGATATGGGCGCTCTCAAATTACCCAGCACCCATTTTTGGGATTGAATTAGACTCGGTTTTCTCCCATATCAGTCATTTTCTGGCAAACAAAGACAACGTAGATTGGCCATGGGAGATCAGGAAGAGTTTCCCATGGGTTCTTTGGAGGATTTGGAAGAATAGAAACAAGCTAGTTTTCGAAGGAACCAGTTTCTCGCCTCTTGATACGGCTAGGAAAATAAAGGAAGATGTTGAGGTGTGGTTTGCAGCACAGGAGAGTGACTATAGTCCCTCTACTAGGGAGTCACAAGAAATGGCGACCGATCCCAGAGTAAATCCCGTAGGTGCATCAACGAACTGGAATCCCCCCAAACACGGGTGGTTAAAATGCAACATAGGAACGGCCTGGTCGAGAGGAAAGCGTTTGGCTGGGGGTGCTTGGGTGGTGAGGGATGAATGGGGAGTCGTGTTACTACACAGCAGAAGAGCTTTCTCCAATATCCTCTCAAAACAAGAAGCTAGCTTGATTTGTCTTTTATGGGCTGTGGAAAGTATGATGAGCCATAAACTTCAAAATCTGGTTTTTGCAGTCGAGGATGTTGTATTGGTAGCAGCGGTGGCGAGACCAAAAGCGTGGCCCTCTTTCAGATTCCAATCTACTCAACTGTTATCGGTTCTAGGGGAGATAAGGATGTGGAAACTTGTTAGTGAAGTAGTGACAGCAAACAGAGGAGCTCATCTCATTGCAAAGTCGGTTATAGAAGACTCCCGTCTGAACTCATATGTAGCGGGAAGTCATCCTTCTTGGTTATCAGGCTTATTCTGCAGTGAGAGAGTTCTATCCTCTGTGTGAGTGTTGTTTTTTTGTTATTTGGGGCTCAAGGGAGCGATTGGTTTTTTGGTCAGGACCTCGGATAATCCGATGGGTCTTTTTAAGGGTTTGACCTTGGTCTGTAACTTTTTGTTATTATGTACAGTGGTATGACTTCCCTCAAGTCAAGTTGTAACCCTCTTATCTATATCAATACTAATCCAGTTGACAAAAAAAATTAATACTAATACAGTAGTTTTCTTTTTCAATTATTGAAGCGCAAATAGTGTGACGCATCTCCCTCACTTGAAAGCATGAGGAGGATATAATAATTTCGAAATGAGTCTATGGACTAAGTGGTCCTCAACCTAAAGTCTCTGTCTTGAGTTACTGATTGACTTTAGCCTACTAAGTTGAGATTCTAAATCTGACAAAATGTAAAATTTGAGTCCGACGGGGCTACCTAATGAAAGAGGTCAAACCAAGGTTTGCTTTCGTTTTTTTGAGCTAGCATCAGTTAAACATGTTCCCAAGTAGCTGGTTAGTGACACAAAAAGAAGCCACAAACCTGTCGACAACATTGGTTTCAGGGTTTGTGTCAAGAAAGACTCTACCGATTACTCCACATGACTTGAAATGATTGATCAACGACTCCTTGATCTCATCCGCCGGAAGCGAAGTGTCGAATCCCTCAACGTCAGCATACCAACTACAACAATTCTCAATATATTATATATCAACACATGATGAAGAACACATCTTTATAAACAAATCTCAAAATCAAACAAAACATCATTATTACCAACGTCGTAGTGGTTTCGAAAAAAGGGCTCTTACTTCAGGATTATCCAACAGTCCCCCTCCCTAAAGTAAAAGTGTACAACAGATTTAATCAGACAATCAGGCAGAAAAAAAAACCATTAATAGAGAAACAGAGAGGCATAACTGGGGCACTAGTCGCCCAAAAACCCTAATTCTCTCCCACCTCTCTCCTCTCGTCTCACAACAACAGCCGCCGCGTTTTTTTGTGGCCAACGTCCGGTGGCTTTATAGCCCCGGCGTTGTGCTTTTTCTTTGATCTAAAGTATTTCTTCTTCTTGTATCAGTTCTTGTACTGCCATTTTTTGTCCTCTTTTGCTGTTTTCTTTGGACTCCCCTCTTCCCCTGAAGATCTAGATTTGGACCGTTTCGATGCTCGTGGGTTTTATCCGAGAGGTTTCTTTGTTTGGGTATTTGTGATTAAGTCCTTGTTCAGCAATTGATTTCAATCTCATCAAGGTCAAGCATGTTTGGTTTATCCTCTGTTTGCTTGGTGGTGGCCTTAGTAGTTGTTCTGTTTTATGGAATTTTATTTGTGAGTTAGGTGGGTAAATTTTTGATCTTTATCATCAATTCTGTTCTCTATGCGAGTTGGTGCTGGTTTGTTGCGTGTTCCGGCTACTTATGTGGCAACGACCTCCGTTATAATCCTATAGATTAATTTTCCCCTTCCTTTTGTGTCTTAGTTTGGTTGAGGAGTGAAGCCTTAGTTTCATGATTAGGGTTGGCATTTTTGGCTCCTAACGCTGCCTTTCAGTCATCTTACCTTCTTGTCACTAATGGTGTGAGTTGGTGATGGTTTCGTGTTGTGGTTCTTCTCTCCGATGGTAGTTCTCTACAATGGCACCTACTAACTCCTTCTCTTTCCCTGGTTTGGGTTAAAGTATGAGTTCTAGACGTTGTGGGGGCTCGGTCTTCATTGCTTCTCTTGCGTTGGCGTAACCAGTTTTTAGTGTGTAGGTGACCTTGGCTGGGTCTACGAATGTCCGTGTGCAAGTAATGGTGGTCCTGTTTGAAGTTTTCCCCTCCGAATTTCAAGGTCTCTCCTTGTCCCGTCGCCTTCTCGTATCCCTTGGTTTTGGATTGGTAGTGATGGTAAGGATCTGTGCTTTGATCCTCTTGTTTTTTGAGTTCGTTTCTGCTGGGGTTGTGGTTTTGGTGAGTTCAATTTGGCTCCCTCTTAGGGCTTTCTCCTTCGAAGGCAATCTATAGTTGGGTCCTTTGCGAATCTCCTGTTTGTATCATTGGTGATCTGTCCAAACCGCCATCCAGCTCCAAATTGTTCTAAGGAAACTTTCTTCGGATTCTTCTGGTGAAGAGCTTCAGTTGTGTTGTTTGTGAGCTTTTTATTTGTCCTTCACTCTTTTCATTAAGGTTTCCTGCCATGTCTGTCCTTTTGGACCTTTGTTTCTGGAGGTTTTGCTTGTGCCTGCCAGTTTGTTTTCGGAAAAGAATATATTCTCTGCCGTGTTGTATCACTCATCCGTTTGTTATAATTGAATCATTCAGACGAAAAAAAAGAAAAAAAAAAAAAAAAGAGAAACAGAGAGGCATAATTAAGGAGAGGAAGTGTAAAACTATTTGATCTGCCATTTATTTTCAAATCCGTTTCTTAAACCATGTACTGCATACAATATAAATAATAAGGATATGGTAGGATTTATTGTTCAAGATCAATGATCACAAGTTAATTGTTTATAGAATAACATTTTCTAAAACACACAACTTTACTTTAGCCACCTCGATCTTTCTCGTAGCTAGATCTTATCCAATTGATAATTGGTGTAAGATTCGTTTTTAGCAAAAGATCACTGACGTGGATCATTGACAATTATGCGGACCCTAAAAATATCCTTTAGCTACTGCATTAAGAATGTTTGTTTTAAAAACTTTCTTTTTTATTAACAGGAACATTATCATAAATAACGTGATGGAACCTGCAATAATTGGTGCCATTAAATATATACTAAGGTTTTTTATACAATTATACGTGTACTTGGGGTGCAGGGGATGACAATATACGATGAGGCTAGCTAGTAGCTAATCAATCATATTATTTTATTTTTCATGTGAATACGTTGTGATATGAATCTACGAAGTAAGAACTAATCATATCCTTCATACATTTATACACGTGTACGTATTAATGCATAATTCAACAATAACGAGTTAGTATTCAGACTCAGAGTAATTAATTATTTAGTGAGTAACCAATTATTACAAGTTTGCCGTGTGACGGTGTGAGTTAACCAGATACAAAAACTCCGTAATATCTAGAAAGCAAAATCAACTCCAAAGCTCGTGCACTTCTCTTATACGTGGCGTACTGTGAGCCATGCAGAGGCCACTACAAATAATAAACATTTTTTTGATCTGTTTTTGTTTTGTCAACCATTATTTTTGTTTTCTTGTAAATGAAAAAATATTTTCAGGAATAAGCAACCTACATACGAGAGCTGATTGGATGATAGAAAGGCGTATATATATATATATATTTTTAACGTATATATATCGTTGAGGAAGATCTGGATCTCGTTAGCTACCGAGACCATTTTAATTTTTAACACCGTCGATGTTTTTCATATTTTAGCAAACTCGAAAGGTCAATTGATAATGTGGCAAAACCGGAGGCAATACAAACGATGACTCATCAGGCTTATCTCTGTGGCCAAATAATTTGACCAATATAATAGCTCGACAGCTCAGAAAGTCTCAGATTTGCCAGTAATAATCGGACCAATCAAATTTAAAATTTCAATTATTGTTCAAGTTTTGTTGGTTGATACGCAAAACCCTATGCTATATAGATACATACATGGGTAGAGCAAGTTGAATAAAGCAGATCGATCAGAAAAGAAAAAAACTGAGCTCAAAACACCTTTGTTATAAAAAAAAAGAAGCAAAAGTACAAAAGCATATTAAAAAGAAAATGTCGAATATGATCGTCAAGAATCAACTAAGATCTATAAGCTTACCTTCAAGATCGCATCCAAGCACGACTGGGATCGAGGAAGCTCTTCACAAGGTTAAAAAGATTAACACCACGACCGATTCGTCGGAATCAATCTTGATGAGCTTGGCGGGTTTGGAGGAGCTCTACAATTGTACGGATGAGTTTCTGAAAATGGGCTTAACGCAAAGGGTTATGTCGTCGTCTGATGGATCCGAGTTTATGGAGGAGATGCTTGATGGTTCGTTGAGGCTAATGGATATATGCAGCGTCTCGAGGGATCTCATGGTGGAGACTCACGAGCATGTTCGTGATGTTCAATCATGTGTAAGGAGAAAGAAAGTAGCCGGAGGAGGAGACCAACTCGATGTCTCCGTCTCGGGATATGTTGTATTTAGAAAAAACATGAGAGGAAGCTTCTTGGATCCTTGAAGAACATTGATGGAAGATTAAGTTTATCGTCATCACTAAATAACGGTGAGCAAGATGAACATCTTGTCGCGGTTATGGATGCGATGAGAGGAGTAGTTTCCGTTAGCGTCTCGGTGTTGAGGTCGTTCTTGGAGTTCTTGTCGGGACGACAAAGTAACATCAAGAGCAAGTTGGCTTCGGTACTGAAGAAAAAGAAGGTTCATCACGATGAGGGGACCAAGAACGAGTTGGAGAGTTTGGATTCCGCAATATGCTGCTCTCGTGATGATCTTCAAAAGAAGCTTGAGGATGTTGATATGAGCATTGATAAGTTCGAGAAGAATCTAGAAGGGTTATTTCGAAGGTTGATAAGAACAAGAGCCTAGCTCGCTTCTCAACATAATCTCTCATTAGATGTTAAATTACGCATGTAATGTAACCTTAGGCAGTCGACTTTAAAGAATTTGCCGGAGGGATACATTATTCACACGCACATAGGATTTTGTACACTAGACTAATTGATACATGTAAAGATAAATATATAGAACAAAATACAATATTGCATTGATAAATACAAGCGTTAGTGTGACAACTGTTATGGAGCCATGCATCTAAAACCAACAGTTCAAATTGACTGAATCGATGGCAATCTTTTCTTACAATTTTTTTTTTTTTTTAATTTGGACTCAAACATAACAAACCTTAATTATTCGTGTGTATCTCTTTTAGTATGAACGTCTACGGAAGATACAACAATTATATGAAATTCGTTAATCTTACGCTATCAGATGAGATGTCCTGGTAGACTATACAAGAACATCTCAAAATGTAAAATTACATATAGCCTAAATATATATATCCACTACCAAAATCTTACAGAGATTTTTATATAAAAATAAAAAACTTAAAACCAAAAATTCATGATACTATCAGTCTATCACATTATAGCACTTGCGTTCCGGTTTAGCTAAATTATAAATTGATGATTGTCCGGTTCTCAATTTCCGGTTCATATCGTATGAAGAAACCAAGTGTATTCCTCTTCCGTATCTCCAGGGGTAGTTTTGTCAAAATAAAATTTGAATGAAATACGACGGACGCAACCTTTCAAAGAAAAGGCGTGAGAGATATCTAAACGAACGAACACATATAAAAAAAATAACGGTCATAACCGCCGTGATCACATAAACTATATAATGACCAATTCAATAAACTCAAAAGTCGTATTACTCTAAACAAGAAAAATCATGAGTAACGCCGACGAGAGAAAGCTTACGACTGAGGAAGAAATAAACGAGAGCTCTGACGACGACAGTGGCTATCTTTGTACCGATGAGAAAGGAGATTTCCGCCAAATTGTTCTGGGACTTCCCGCACTGAGTCTCGCTGAAAGCTTTCTCGCGGATGAAACCACCCGTAATAAAGCCAAAGTTGCGGCAACACTTATTGTTACTGCCGCTGAAGAAGCGGTCGGGAAGACAGATCAACCTTTGGCAGGAACTGGTAGCACTGTTGGGGCTCCCGACAATAAGATCAAAGTTGGACGACCTCGTGTCTTGTTGGAAGCTCTTGCTGCAGGTTCCGGGTCTACAACTGTCGGTTCCACCGAGGACGAAGAGCCTATTAAAAAGGCCAAAAGAAAAGGGGCGGCGCTATTAACCAATCCGCCAATAGGGCCGCCGAAGTGTAACATTTGTCAGAAACCTTTCAGTTCCTGGAAGGCTGTCTTTGGACACTTAAGGCAGCACAAGAATCGTGGATATTTAGGTTTTCTTCCACCACCAACATTTGATGCGGCTGAGGAAAGATCAGGTGGGACGGTTGCTGCTTCTTCTGATGGTGGAGCGTCGGGTTTAGGCACCGGAGGGTTAGGGATTGATCTCAATGTTAGTCCAATTGAGGAGGATGAAGAAGCAGCTTTCACTCCAAAATTTGATCTCAATAGGTCACCACCACAAGATGACGAAGAACAGGGTGACAAAGCCGAGTAGACACATTGAGAGACCTAAAAGGCCAAAACATTCGAATCATCATTTTTTCTCGTTTAATTTCAATAATGTGCATGTGCGTATGCAAGCAAATATTCGTCTTCAGTAACATTGTTTTCTTCCGTGTGAAATTCTGAAATATTCAGTCTATGACCCTATTATTGTTCCATCGTAAAATTTATTATTTTCATTAATTCTGTTGTAATGGAATAAGGCCTTTATAGTATGCACAACATTAATAGAGTGAAAGTTTTTTTTTTTATATCATGTAAATTGTTTATTCTGTTTGATGAATAATAAAGTTAGAATATATGCGAAAATGGCTATTACAAACGTTAAAGCTACTGTGAAATATAAATAAGAAAAAATTTCTGTTTTAAACCAAAAAATATTATAATATACCTAATCTGCATCAACTTAGCTACATCGTGTGAAAATATTTTAAAATTCACTTAAAATTATTAAAACTAACAAAATTTTAATACTTTCTTTGAAAAATATAGATTTATACTTATTGTCACCAGTTAAGGTTGCTATACAAGTGGCAGTTACTGTTGTATTTTAACAAATGATTGTTAATAAATGAAATTACTATACAACAAATAAAGATCTATTTTGTAAAAAGTCCACTCCATGATTATCAAATCAAACAACACCAGTGAAAACTGACAAGAAAATCTACTCAAAATCCGTGCACCTCTCACACGTGTCGTTACAAGAGACGTCATGCAGAAGGCAATGTTATAGTCTGTGTTTTTAGAAGAATATATCTTTTTGTTTCTAAGGAATCGTAACTAGCAAACTACATAAGTTCATAAGAGAAAGATCTGGATCTCATTACATACCGAAACGCTTTTACGAACACGAAAGGTCAATTGATAATGTGGCGAAACCGGAGGCAACAGAGATTATGACTCATCAGGCTTGTCTCTGTGGCCAAATAATTTGACCAATATAATAGTCCGACAGCTCAATAGAGTCACAGATTTGCCAGTAAATAATAGGACCAATCAAATTTAAAAGATAAATTATTGTTAGATTGTTGTTGGTTGATGACGTTGCAGAACCCTATGCTATATATATGCATGTGTAAGACAAGTTGAATAGCAGATCCATCAAAGGAGAAAGCAAAACAAAACCTCAAAGCACCTATACAAAAAAAAAAAAAAAAACAAAGAAACATAAACAAAACAAAAAAGATGGCGAATGTGATCACTAAGAAACAATTAAGATCTACAAGTTTACCTTCAAGATCGCATCCAAGCACGAGTGCGATCGAAGAAACTCTTAATAGAATTAAAACAGTTAACACCACGACGGGGTCATCCGAATCGATCTTGATGGGATTGGCTGGTTTGGAGGAACTCTACAACTGTACGGAAGAGTTCCTGAAAATGGGTTCAACACAACGGGTTATGTCCTCTGCTGGGTCAGAGTTTATGGAGGAAATGCTTGATGGTTCGTTGAGGCTGATGGATATATGCAACGTCTCGAGGGAACTTATGGCGGAGACTCACGGGCATGTTCGTGGTGTTCACTCATGTGTTAGACGCAAGAAAGTAGTCGGAGGAGGAGATCAACTTATTGTCGCTGTCTCCGGCTATGTTGGACTTAGGAAAAACATGAGAAAACAAGCTAAAAAACTTCTCGGATCTTTGAAGAAAATCGATGGAACGTCAGATTCATGTGATAATGATCATGCAGATGAACATCTTGTGGCGGTTATAAGTGCAATGAGACAAGTGGTATCGGTAAGCGTAGTGGTGTTGAAGTCATTTTTGGAACTCTTGTCCGGACGACAAAGTAATATAAAGAGCAAGTTGGCTTCGGTACTAAAGAAGAAAAAAGAGCATCACGAGGCCAGCAAGAACGAGTTGGAGACATTGGATTCTGTAATCTGCGGAGATTCTTGCTCTCATGATGATCTACAAAAGAAGCTTGAGGAGGTTGAGATGAGCGTTGGTGGGTTCGAGAGAAATCTAGAAGGGTTGTTTCGAAGATTAATAAGAACACGAGCCTCGCTTCTCAACATAATCTCTCACTAGAAGAAGTTAATGTATGTAATGTAACCTTTGTGGGCATTCGATTTTAGAGAATTTGCCGGAGGAATGCATTATATAAGCATATTAAAGCTTTTGTCCACTAATTAATATACAGACAATGTAAAGAAAAATGTGTAAAGTAGAATCAACATTGCAGTTATATTATATTCATAAATGTTATGAAACAATCTAAAGACTCACGAATTAAAATGACTTAATTGGTTAGGAAATTTCATAAACTCGAATCATGACTTGATTACGAGAGTTGATTCATGACTTGATTCATCATGTAAAAGGATACGAGAGTTGACTTATCAGTATAAATTAATCACTGACGTAGAACGTGCATACAATTATCGCTGCTGAAATTTATGCATGCTAGTATTATAATATCAAGCAAAAGTATGTCAAACAGGCTAATCATATCTAGAAGATGTAGAAGTGAATCTGTATTTAAATTTTATGATGGAACTGTGATGTACTGAAACTTACAAAACTATGCCTCCTTTTTTTTTTCTTTTTTTTTTCTATGTCAAACAAGTCTATTATGATATTATCTCACGCCAATCATAGTTGTATCAAAAAAAATTCTTATTAACTAATGATGCATCTCCAATTTTTTAGGTCTTTTCATATTTTGTTGGGCCGAATTTTCTAATAGTCATGAACCCAATAATTTGGTCCAACCTCAAACATACATGTACAGTAACAATGACACTCCTTGATATGCTCTTCTCTAGCTTCATTTTTCATTTCCTTTTCCCACTTGAATATCTTTGATATATATATATATATATATATATATATAACCTTAAGATAATTCCCTCCATCAAATCAGTTATAAATTTATACATAATAAAAATGAATAAGTATAAATTTGTTATTAATCACTTCCACAAAATTTGCATTTTAAATTCTAGTAATTCTTTTTTAAAAATTCAAAAAATGCTTTTTACTGATGGTATCGACTTTATTTTCAAACTAGTCAATACGTTAGTCCGTAAAGCGAAAAGATCCCAAACTCGAAAAACCAAAAGGTACTCGAAGCCTGATTAACATAGTACTTCCTAAATTCATGGTAACATAATTGCTGACGTGTGACGGTGTTATGTAAGGGAGGCATCGTCTCTTGCAAGGGACCACAGCATCATCATTCGTGCATTACATATCATATATCTCATGGAGTATATTTTTTCTTACTTAAAATAAAACAACGTAACAAAATCTTCCAAAGATCTTGAATTCAATTCAATCGAGGTACCCACACATTAAAAAAATATGAAAGCATTGTATTTGTAACTGTAACCTTCAGAAGAAAACAAAAATCCAACGAGACTAGAAACCATTATAAATGTTAAAGAATTGTAAATGGGCGGTGGCTTTGGTGCATGAAAAGAGGTGTGAAAAAGGTTTCGGTTTTAGTAACCGAAACCGAAACATCGAACTTCGACAACGATTTCAACTCTATATTCAAACGACATAGCATTTATTGAGCCTTACGTGTTCTGTTCTTTCCTTTGTGAAAATTACACCCACACTCTCTTCACATGGTCTTCACGTCTTAGCTAAGCTAGGGTCCTACTCATTGACATTTATGTACATTTACGTCGTTATGTGTGTATTTATATAAACCCTAGAGTGAAAGAACCGAACAGAGCACAACTGGAAATAACCCATTCTCATCATCATTACCTGAGATGTATATGTCCTCATTGTCCCCGAGACTCCACAAAGCATACAAATCTAGATGTGTTAGCTTACCGGTTCGGTCTCATCCTAGTGTTAGGAGGATTCAAGAAGTTGTCTCCAAGGTTAGAGCTTTGGGGTCGTCTTCGTTAGACTCCAGGACCATGGTCCGTGACGGTCTCTCTGGTCTCACCGACCTTTACAGGTGTTTAAGTGAAGATCTCTTCAGATCTTCTCCTGAAACTCAGCAAGCTCTTCTTAACGGTGATGGTTTGATGGATGAGCTTCTTGAAGTGTCGCTGAAGTACTTAGAGGTTTGTGGAGGAGCCAAAGACGTGGCGTCTAAGATCAAGAAGAGTGTTGTTGAGCTTCAGTCGGCTTTGAGAAGGAGCAAGAAAGGAGGTGATTTTAGCCTAGAGAGTGACGTGGATGCTTACATGGCGTCGATGAAAGAGATCAAGAAGGAGATCAAAAAGTATTCGGTAATGTCGAAAGAGACAGACGCGTCTTTGGAGAGTGTTTGGTGTGACGGTGATGATCAAGACATGAATGCTTTGGTTAGAGTGATGCAAGAGACGAGTGTAATGACTTGTTTTGTGTTACGCTCGGTCTTCTCGTTCTTGTCGTCGCCTAAAGGGTTAAAGACTAAGAATCATCATCGCCATAAGGGTTGGGGAATTGTTATGAAGCTTGTGAAGAAAGGAATAGATCATCATAATCAGGAGAAAAGAGATCTTGAGAAGGGCTTTTCTTGTCTCGAGCTTGAAGCGATGGAAACTGAGCTTGGGAAGCTCGTTGTGATGACGACGAGTGAAGATCAAGAAGAGGAGACAAAAGTTAGTGAAGAAGTATGTGAGACGATTCAATGTGCATTGGTCAGATCCGTAGGTGTAGAGACAGTCATGGAAGAGCTTGAAGATGGACTTGAAGGATTGTTCAAGGTGATGATACAAGCTAGAGTCTCTCTTCTTAACATCCTCTCCATTTAATTCAAATCGGATCAGATTCGAATTCCTTAATTGGTATGGATTCGGTGATAATTTACTTGCTCTTGACCAGGTGGATTGGTTTGGTTTGGTTTATTCCCTTATATGTGAGAGAGAGTTCAAACATGCGTCCATGTTTTAGAGGATGTGTGTTTCTTGTAAGTTTGTAACTCGTTCACACCTGAACGTTTCTTGTAAAGTGTATGTACTTATAAATATGAGAATATTACTAGACTATCTATAATTCTACCGCTTACAACAATAAATATGAATGCAGAATCACTGATATGTATGATTACTGATTATTATTAATTATATCGTAAAAATGTTATTTAGAAATGGCAGAACGTCAAAGTATTATTATGAGGACTTTTGCCTCTTCAATATTTTTATTGATAAATATTTCATTTTTGCGAGAAAATGAATTTAGTGAGTGAAGCCGCACACACGGTGGTGGTAGTAGTAAGTCCTATTTTTCTTAGTTTGACTCGCAGAAAATTAACGAGACAGCCATACGAAAACACTTTTTATTTCATTTTTCAGTTACGATTACAGTTTATATTTTCTTTGGAGGACATACGCAATGACAGGCCGTAGCAAAGCATAATGGTGTGCAATCTGGCGTACAAAACCTAGCCATCAATGGCTTAATCGAGTGCGGAGCTTTAAGGTCCAATAAGTGTTGAGATGTTTCTTCAAGTAAGAGACGTTTTGCCTCAACAATCTCAACTGTTACGGATATCATGATCACTGCAACCCAAAGAAATGTTTAATAAACATTAACTAGTAACACAATACAATTCTTTAATTCCATATGTCATATAGATAAACGTCAACTTTACCGGCAAAAGCTAAAAGGATGATGAAAGCAGCTTTCGATGAAAATTTCCCCATCGTCACGAAAATCTGTTTCTTTGGATAACTTTTGGGTTTGGAAATAGTTGGTGAAGATAACTATATCTGATATATATTTTGGACAATGTATACCTTTTTTATAGAATAGAGAAAGTGTGCAACTGTAGTAAAATTAATATCAAAGATCTTTTGCTAATTATATTGTTGGATTAGATAAGTTAAAATCTCCTAAATATGGTAGATAAATCAAATAGTCAAACCTCTATACTTATTACCTAAGATATAGATTATTGATAAGACCTTCGACATAATTACAAAAGGTTTGAATCAGAATAAGCCCATTATTAAAATCCAGCCTATTACAGCCCAAGCCCATTATATAAACAATGAATCACATATGTCAATCAACAAGCCACGGTGCTATGAAACTTATGATGCTTTGCTTGGGAATTGGGATGCTCGTTGGGTTTGGCGACATGTCTATGATACAACGGCTATATTTTGACATCGTCAATCTTTTACATGGTGTCGTGAGTTTAGCCTCGAGAGTGACGTAGATGTTTACATGGCGTCGAGGAAAGATATCAAGAAGAAGATCCAGAAGTATATGGTAATGTCGAAAGATATAGACGCGTCTTTGGACTTTGGAGAATGTTTGGTGTGATGGTGATGATCAAGACATGAGCGCTTTGGTTAGCGTGATGCAAGAGAATCTCTTCTTAACATCCTCTCGGTTTAATTAAAAAACGGATCGGATTCGTATGGGTTCGGAAACAAATGATTTACTTTTAGAGCAGGTCGATTGGTCTTTTTTTTTCCTTTGTATGTTGAGAGAGTTTAAACACGCGTCCATGTGTTTAGAGGATATATGTGTGTTTGTCTTTATAAGTTTATAACTCTTTCACGTGTAAACATCTCTTGTAAAGTTTATGTAGTTATAGCTATGAGAAAAATTTAAGTAGACAACCGGCCATACCAAAAAAGTATTTTATTTTTAATTCAGTTGCAAATATAATAATAATAATTATACTTTTAAGATATAGATCACACTATTCACATACGCAGTAACAGCCGGTACCAAAACATAATTCTTTGCATGGTGGCGTACAAAAATCAAACCCACCAAGTGGCTTAACCATTAGTGAAGCTTCATGATGTGATGAGAGTAGAGGAGTTTCTTCAGGTAAGAGACGTTTCGCCTCGATAATCTCAACTGTTGTGGATATCATCAGTACTACAACACAAATAGGTGGAATAAAACATTAGTATACATAATATAATTCTTTAATACCATATATATATATATATATATATATATATATATATATATATACCATATGAAATTTACCGGTAAGAGCTAAAAGGATGATGAAAGCAGCTTTCGATGAAGATTTCCCCATCATCATGTAAATCTGTTTTTCTTGGGATAACCTTGTAGAAGTAAGAAGAGTAGGTGAAGAAGATTGATATATTTTGGGACAATGTATAAAGTTTTTATAGGATAGAGAAAGTGTAAATAAATATCAAAGATTTTGTGTTAATGGGTATTTATGAATAAGATAAGATGGAATCTCCTAATCTGGTAGATAAGTTTGACTCAAAGAAATTGTCTATACATAGAACAAGTTTGACTAAAAAAGCCGATGACTAAATTCCAGCCTATTATAAGCCCAAGCCCATTGAGAATCAATAAATCACACATGTCAATCTTGAATCTACAAGCCACGGTGCAACTGAAACTCTTCACTGCTTTAGGATGCCTTTGCTTGGGGATACTTGTGGAGTTTGGCAACGTGTCTACGATACAACGGCTATATTTGTTGACATAGTGACAATTTGTCTCGAGTCCAGCCCTAAAATAATAAGTCGGTGTGTTTCTTGTGGGACCAAAAAAGAGCGTTACTTTACTAATTTCAGCGGACCGTTACTTACACACTCACATTAGTCTCCTCTTACTTCTACATCTCTTTCTTATTCTTCTTCTGTATCAGAGACGCGGTGGTGAGAAGACAATGACGGCGGCCGGAGTAGCCTCTGCGCAGACCAAGAAGCTCATGAAGTTCAGTCTTTCTCTCTTCCGTCGTGGCTTTAACTCCTCTAAATGGTATGGTGCTCATCATCTTTATTGTTACTTAGATTCGTAATTTCCCCGCCAATCTGCTTCACTGCCCGTGAAACAATGGAAAAGTTAGGGTTTTTTTAGTGTGGTGACACTTCTCATCTCGAAATTCGATCTGGGCATTCTTAGTTACTTCATTCCCAAGGGGAAAAAGCTTGAATTTTGTGATCTGCGTCTAAGAAATTTCCGATCTGGGCTTTTCTACGATTAAGCATCTGATGAAAGGTTGTGTTTTTTTTTTCGTATCGGAATAAAGCAAAACGGCGGCGAAGATGGCTGTGGCTCGGATTAAGCTACTGAGGAACAAGAGACAAGTTGTGGTGAAGCAGATGAGGCGTGACATCGCTGTTCTTCTTCAATCTGGTCAAGATGCCACTGCTCGAATCAGAGTATTTTTCACTTTCCTGCTTCTCTTTTCTTTTTTTAGAATTTTCCTGCAAATCCAGTCAATTCGATGAACGTTTTTGCTTTGCGACAAATCCCACAGGTTGAGCATGTGATAAGGGAACAGAACATTCAGGCAGCAAATGAAATCATTGAGCTCTTCTGTGAGCTTATTGTTGCTCGGCTCACTATCATCACCAAGCAAAAGTATGTTCATAGCTATCAGTCTCAATTTTTCTTTACTTGACTTCAGTTTGGGCTCTTCTTATATGTGTTTGGCTTTGTTTTTAAGGCAATGTCCTGTGGATCTTAAGGAAGGTATTGCTAGTTTGATTTTCGCTGCGCCTAGATGCTCTGAGATCCCTGAGCTTGGAGATCTTAGAGACATATTTGAGAAGAAATATGGGAAAGATTTTGTATCTGCTGCTACTGATTTGCGTCCTAGCTGCGGCGTAAACCGGATGGTAACTAAATCATTCATGTTTCTGCATCATATTCAGATGCAACATGAAATCTTGAACTTATTTTCTCTCTTGTGCATTGTAGTTGATTGATAAGCTTTCTGTTAGAAATCCGGGTGGGGAATACAAACTGAAAATCATGAAGGAAATTGCAAAGGAATTCCAGGTTGAGTGGGACACTACAGAGACAGAACAAGAACTTCTCAAACCTGAAGAAGAAAGCATAGTACGTCTCTTAATCTCCCTCTTTGTTTTTCAAAATCAGAATCTTAAAAGTGTTGTTCTTCTTGTATTAACAGGATGGGCCACGTAAGTTTGTAAGCGCCTCAAGCTTACCGGTTAATCGTGCAGCTATCAACGAGCCTATTGATCTTACCAAAGCAGTGCCGAGGTATGTATACATTCCAGCAATTGGTTCAAAAATGTCGATAGCTAAACATGGATCAGAAATATGAAGTCTTGTTGTTGTTCTGCTTGTCAGATCGAGTAGTAGCACGAGCATCAACACGCATTATCATGACACCGAGTCAGCAGCGGAAGCAGCTACTGAATTAGCCAAACAGGCAGTTGCAGCAGCACAAGTAGCCTCCTTTTTAGCTACCAGAAGAGACAGCACCAAGGAGTTCTCTGTATCTTCCGATCATTCAGCAAATCAGAAGGATTCACAGTACATGGATCATCATTACCATCATCCAGGTTCAAGGAAACAATTACGAGACTCCGAAACAAGTTCATATTATGCAAAACCTAGTGCAGAAAACAGAGGAATCGGTAGAAGACACAGCTACAACAACCCGGGTTTTAATGAATCTGCCTACGAAGAAGACTATACCAAGTCTGAAGAAGAAGCAAAGGAAACAATTAGGAGGAGACACAGCTACAACTCTTCATCACATCCGCCTCCTCCTCCTGCTACTTCTGAGATCAAGTTTGATGAGTCAGACTACTACGAGGAAGAGACAGAACCAGAAGAACCATCACAGGCTCGTGTTTCTTCTCTCCCACCAAACCGAGCACCGCCTCAGGCTCCTCAGTTTGATGATTCCAGACGGGACTCAAGCGGTCACCATGTTCACCCAAAACTACCCGACTATGATATGTTGGCTGCACGTTTTGAAGCAATCAGACACAGCAAAGGTCCATTGATCTAAAGCCGGAAACTTCCACTACTGCTATGTGTTCATTTTTTTTTTTTGTGTATGAAGAAGGAAAGACACATTTTTTATTACTACTTAGTACTTACTGAATAACGGTTCGGTTTTGTTGTGATCTTGTCAGAAAATATAGTTAAACCGTTAAAAGAAAATCTGAACTTGAAACTGGCTTATTGTCCACAAAAGTATAAGCATCCATGCTAAACTGTAACTGGAATCAATTAGTTAAACTATCCCATGAAGGAGCTCCGTTCAGATAAACATCCCATCAGATTCGGTGTTATGTTTTCTCTACGTCGGGATTACATAAATGCTTATTGTGCATCAGTGCATGTATTTTCAAGTTTCAATCTTAGGAGTTCCGTCTTAAGGTTGTTTCTCTGACAAGTAATAAACAACACAAAGAGAACTCGTTGATAACTCAAAGATGGATAAAAGTGAGTGGTCTGTTTTTGGCAGTCGGCGACCACAAGAAAATTTGGTACTGCAAGTCTGCAAGAGTGGAGAAGAAAGTAAAATTTGGACAAAAAATCAGAAACCAAGTTGAAGATTTCTTAGACATGCTTCACAGATGACAGGTCTATGCCTTGTACAATTTGAAGATTAGTTATATGACAGGTGGATTAGTTATATCACGTCTCAGCCTCGAAGGAAGCTAATACATGTACATCAAACTCTATGAATAGAAAAAAGTCTTTTATTTTATTGTAATGTTTTTTATTTATTGTAATGTTATATATCATTTATATTGATTACCCAAAAATAGGCCGAACATCAAATAAAAATAAACTTTATTAAGAAGTAATTAAAAACAATGTTATATACAATTCAAAAAGTGCATTCTAACAATAATTAAAGTTTCACTTCTTGACACATATATATTTGGTCAACAATAAATAAAATTTTCCATCAATAAATTAAAATTGGTCAAGTCAAGAAGTGAAAATTAATTGTAATAGAGAATTAAATTTACTTTCTAAAATAAATTAGTTATGCATTAATGAAAATAATAAATAAAAGCAAGCAAAATTTTACATATAAAGGTAATATTTAATATATCTTTAGTTGACCCAATATATATATATCTACTAGTCAAATTCAGAATATATATATATATATGGGTTTCAGTTTGTCCATAGATTTTCTAGATTAATTTTAAAATCTTAGGGTTTCAACAAACGAAAGAGAGATGAGTAAAGTCGTGGAGTGGTCTGATTTACCTGGAGACCTCGTGGATTATGTAGCCAACGGTCTCTTCTCCAAAATTGAGCTTCTGCGATTCCGTAGCATCTGCAAAACATGGCGTTCATCTGTCGTTGCGTCCAAAAAACGTTTTCCCAACCACCGCAACCGAAACCGTAGACGCCTTCTCTCGTCCTACGATAATAAAACGTGTTCACTCTCTCCCGCAGCTTTCTACCGTGTGATTCGCTCGTCATGTCCCGGTAAAGGATGGCTTATCAAAACCCAAGATGTCTGTGATGACTCCTCCAAAACGCAACTCCTTTCGCCCCTCTCTCGTAACTCCATCGACTCTTCTTCCGGCATAACCCTAGATCTCTTGGACTTCACGGTATCCGAAATTCATCAATCATATGATGTCCAGTACTCAAAGAAAGCGTCGTATACGTTTGCTAGAGTTGTTCTAGTAGGGGATCTGGTTTTTGTAGTTAATTGCAACAAGCAAATCTGGTGGTGCAACAGTAGCGAAACTAGTAAACCTTGGGAAAGAATCATGGATGAAGAAGTTCAAAAATTCTCGGATATCATACTCCACAGAGGTCACATATATGCCTTAGACTTGAAAGGAGCAATTTGGTGGATTAGTTTATATGAGTTTAACATTTTTCAGTACGGACCTTCGACTCCATTGGAATACTACGAGATTGATGACTACTGCAAAGACAAGGGGCTCGTGGAGTATTGTGGGGATCTATGCGTTGTTCATCGTTTCCGTAAGGAATTTTGCGTAAAGAGAGTTAATGTTGAGATGACCATTGGTTTCAAGGTTTATAAGATGGACGTGGAGAATGTTGAATGGGTTGAGGTTAAGTGTTTGGGAGATAAAGCTCTTGTCATGGCTACGGATAGTTGTTTCTCTGTCTTGGCCAGTGATTATCATGGATGTTTGGAGAATTCAATCTATTTTATAGATAACGAAGAGAAGAACGATGTTAAAATGTTCAAGCTTGGTGATGGTAGTATTACTAAAATGGCTGACTCTTCCTCTCAGAGTTGTTTTCAGATGTTTATTCCTCACTTTACCTGAGGATTTTGTTCTTATGATGAGGATTTTGTTCTTATGATGGGTTTAATTCTTTTGTCTCTAATTTGTTCATCAGAGAGTAAAAATTGTTTTTAAGATTCTGATTTTGTGTTTTTATTTTTTTTAAATTGTATGATTTTGCTTAGTAAACTGAAATTGCAAAAGGAAAAATCGGAATATGCACTCTTTGAGACCATTTGGAGTGTTGTTTATTTTTGGGGTGCACCGATTAGAGAACGATGTCACAAGTGTCATACACGATTTTTTTCGTCGATATCGACCGGGTCAACTATATCATGGTTAGGTTGAGATTATTTTGGTTTGGTTATCGTTCGATTCAGCTACGCAGACGGCGTCGTTTTTGCAATCGCCAACTTCACTTTCCGCAGCGCCTCGACGAAGCGTCGACAGACTCTGCGGAAATTTCACAGAATCGAAGAAACCATCGCAAGCACTCAAATTATCGTCGCAACATATTTGTTAGTTTCATCGAGGCGTTGAAGAGGTGTTCATAGATATGAAGAAAGCGCCGTTGCCGGTGCAGAATGTCCACCGCTCCGATAAGAATGTAGCCGGGAAAGAGGCGTTGGTGAAGCTTTTGAGATGGCATTTTGGTCATGCAGATTTCAGAGGGAAGCAATTGGAGGCTATTCAAGCTGTTGCATCTGGTAAGTGTATAACACACACACATTCCTTTTTCGCTTTTACTCTGGAGAGAAATTGGAATGATTCGTTTGTAATGTCAATGATCACAATTAGGAAGAGACTGCTTTTGTTTGATGCCGACGGGAGGAGGGAAATCGATTTGTTATCAGATACCTGCATTAGCAAAACCTGGAATCGTCCTTGTTGTGTCTCCTTTGATTGGTAATTTGTTTTTTTTTCTTTTCCTGATTCATGAATTGAGAATCTCTGTGTTTTGATTGGTGTCTCTAACTATCTCTTTTGTTTCTCTTGTGTTTACTTCCCAGCTTTGATGGTAAGTGGCATTGTTCTCTTTTCTTTGGTATTTTCTCTTTTAAAGCTTCCTTGAAGGACCATTCTTTGTTTCTATTTTGCTAAAGGAAAATCAAGTGATGGCCCTGAAGGAGAAAGGTATTGCTGCTGAGTATCTCTCATCCACCCAAGCCACACATGTTAGGAACAAGGTGATTTTGACTATAGTTTTTTTCTTCGTCTCTGTGTATATATGCAACTTAATTCTAATCTTTGTTTATCCTTGGATGTGATTCTTGAATTTGGTTTTTAGATCCATGAAGACCTTGATTCTGGTAAACCCTCAGTAAGATTGCTGTATGTGACTCCAGAATTGATTGCGACTAAAGGATTTATGTTGAAGCTGAGAAAAATCCACTCTAGGGGTTTACTAAATCTTATAGCTATAGACGAGGTAAGAACCTTGGAATGCATATAAAAGAGTAAGCAGGAAAACGTTATGTGTTGCACTTGAATGTTGGTGTTAACTTCTCGAGTGTGTATGTATATTTCAGGCACATTGCATCTCATCATGGGGCCACGACTTCAGGTTCATTATTGGTGACTATGTAAGCATTCTTGTCTGTGGCCTCTACTATAGTCTAACTTGTTTTGTCATACTACAGACCTAGTTATCGTCAACTTTCAACCTTGAGAGATTCTTTGGCAGATGTTCCAGTGTTGGCTCTTACTGCTACTGCTGCTCCCAAGTGATTTTTTCTTTCAGTGCATTATAATAAGAACATGCGTGTAGATTGTAGATCCGTACTCAACAGCAGTTTTCTTGTAGGGTACAAAAGGATGTTATCGACTCCTTGAGCTTGCGGAATCCTTTGGTCCTCAAGTCTTCTTTCAATCGCCCAAATATCTTCTATGAAGGTTTCTTTTTGAGCTATTAATTTTTCTATGATATTTTCTCTCTGTAAATTGTTATGAGGTATTCCCAATATTGTTTTGTTTGAAAATCTTTCATTACTATATAATGGGTATTCTAGAAATGCTTTCCCATAATCTAAAAAAAAAATTTGTTGGTGCAGTTCGGTACAAAGATCTTTTAGATAATGCATATAATGATCTGGGCAACTTACTCAAATCTTGTGGAAATATTTGTGCAATTATCTATTGCCTTGAGCGTACGACCTGTGATGACTTGTCTGTTCATCTTACCAGTATTGGGATCTCTTCTACTGGTAAAAAATCGTCTCATCTACCTTTATTACTTCAATATTAAACCTCAAGCGCTGACATTTGCTTATATATATGTCTGCAGCCTATCATGCAGGACTCAATAGCAAACTGAGGAGTACTGTTTTAGATGATTGGCTGTCCTCAAAGAAGCAAGTTATTGTTGCCACAGTGGCTTTCGGGTATGAGTAACTCTGTGAACTACCTTGCATTTGAGTCCTGGGTTTATTGTGATCCTCTTATTTGCGTCTTATTATGTTTGGGAGCTCTTGGGGCGCGCGGTAAACGCTCTATTGCTTTTTCTACAGAATGGTAAACGAAGATTCTTTCTCATGTTGCATCTTTAAGTTTCTACGTCTTATGTACTGTAGTATGATCAGCCTACTGGCTTTCTAGGGTATAGATAAGAAGGACGTCAGAATGGTTTGCCACCTTAACATTCCAAAATCAATGGAATCTTTCTATCAAGAGTCCGGTAGAGCAGGTCGGGATCAATTACCCTCAAGAAGTGTATTATATTATGGTGTAGATGACAGAAAGAAAATGGTAATGTAACCTTCTTATGACAGTTTTTGGCACCACAACTTTGATTCTATGACTCTTATTTGTGAGTTCGCTAACTTGATTTACCAAACTTTGCTAGGAATTTATTCTGCGGAATTCAGAGAATAAAAAATCCCCATCCTCTAAGAAGCCTACGTCTGACTTTGAACAGGTTAATAAGTTCTTGGTTTTTTCAGCCACTGTATATTTTAGTTGAAACTTATTCTTATTCGTGCTGCATGTATTTAGATTGTGAAATACTGCGAAGGTTCTGGATGCCGAAGAAAAAAGATTCTTGAGAGCTTTGGTGAAGAGGTGACTTGTTTTTAACTGATTCATGAATCAAATCCCTTAACTTTCTATCAAGGTAAGCTGCTGATTTTTTTTTTTTGCAAAGCAGTTTCCTACGCAGCAATGCAAAAAAACATGTGATGCATGTAAGCATCCAAATCAAGTTGCTCATTGCTTGGAGGAGCTCATGACCACTGGCTCCCGAAGACACAATTCTTCTCGAATTTTCATCACCAGGTTTTGCCTTTACCCACATCTAAAATTGTGCAGCAAGGTATACCGAGTCTAACTGAACTCTGTGCCCATTCTTTTGCAAGCTCGAACAAAATGACCAATGAGGGACAGTACTCTGAGTTTTGGAATCGTAACGAAGATGGAAGCAATTCTGATGAGGAAATATCAGATTCAGATGGTAACTCACTTTATTGATATTTAAGCGCATGCATATCCATTCTTTTTATTTAAACTTCTTGTATCTCTTAGATGTCTAACTCACATGTTGATTCATCTACATCCAGATGTCTCTGAGGCTGCCAAGAGCCTAGCAGGACCTAAACTATCAAAAAAATTGGGACTAGACGAGAAACTGGTTTTACTAGAGCAAGCTGAGGAAAAGTACTACGAAAGGAATAAACAGGTTTGGTAACAACTTCACTTTATCTTCTTTACGAACAGAATTTGACGTCATTCATCCAGTTTAACTTGGCAAAGCTATTGGAACCGTTTGCAGGTGAAAAAGTCTGAGAAGAACGCAATATCAGAAGTACTAAGAGAATCCAGCAAGCAAAGACTCTTGGATGAGCTGGCACGAGTTCTTCAGCAGCTCGCCAGTGAAAATGAGTAAGACCTCTCGATTCCTCTCAAGTGTTTATAGTTTAAGATGCTTATGGGTCGTCTCTTATCTCACTGATTGGAACCTCAACATAAATTTTGCAGGATTGATTCCCAAAAAGCATGCGAGTTTCTTGAAAACGAGTGCTATAGAAGATATAGCAAAGCAGGGAAATCATTTTACTACTCGCAGATAGCTAGTACTGTGAGATGGTTAGGAACCGCAAGCAGAGAGGAGCTAATGACCCGACTTAGCTCAGTTGTCAGTACAGGTAGAGAAGAAGAGCCAATAGAAGAAGACCTGTCACTGGTGACTGAACAGACTGAGAACATAAAGGAAGAAGCTGATGGCAAGATTAACACGGCCGAGTCACAGGTTGGTGATCAGACACAAGAGGTAGTGAGCCGTTCGCCTATAAAGCTTCCACATATTCCGTCATTCTCAGAGTTTGTTAACAGGAAAAAAATGAAGCAAAACACCTCGGCAGGTAAATCTTCTGAAGATTTTGATGATGAGAAGAAACCGGCAAAGATAATGAAGCTTCAGTAAAAAAATAAAAAATAGTAGCTAAACCCCTCAGGATATTTTGTTCACTAGCCAACAAGGGTTTTTCATTTTCTTTTGTAGTTTAGCTTAAGCATTGGCCCATTATCTCTCAAAGTCGTAGCATACAGCCATACACGATAATTTAGTGTTCCACCTTAGTAGCAAGTATTTCATTGACATCACAAACCGAAATTTAGGAAACCAAAACACAGTACTGAATGAAAATAATAGCTGTGTCAATTTTAAAAAGGGTCTCTCTTTTTCTTTTATCAGTTCCCATAACCATTTAACAAAAGGACTTATTACAATCACATATGATATACCCCATATACATTTTCTCCCCCACTAACTCGCAACCACCACAACTAAAGAAAAGATGTCAAGATTAAAAAAAAGAAGAACAACTAATTAAATACAAAAAGAAAAGAGTTTTAAGAAAAAATCTTCTTCCCCTTATCCAAGCGCCAACTGCTTTCTTTTCTTTTCCGTAAAAAACGCTCACTAGCATTAAAAAAAAGCACACACATATTTTGTAAACCCCTTTCTTTTATATATTTTAATCGTATATTATATGGTTTTCATAAGATACGATCCGAGATCTAGTGGGTGGTTTTTTTTTTCTTTTTCTTAATAGCCCTTTCTACGCTATGAGATACACCTCATGGAGAAACTGGAGACTGATGAATCCACGGCGGCTCCGGCGAAAACCCTAGCGTGATCGCTCTCTTGACCGTAATCCATCATCGGACGGTACTCTAAATCATCGTCGTGATCGTACACAAACTCCGGCATCTCAATCTCGTTCCTCCTCACATGTTCCCACAGATAATCAACTCTGCTTATGTACCTCAGCTTCCCGTACAACCTACCGTAGCCAATCATCACATCAATCAATCAAACGAGTCCAAGAACAATCGTTGACCAGAAAATTAATTTAAACAAAACGCGGCGGTTAAGTTATATGACTCACCCGCCGGAGAATAGAAATCGGCCGCAAGTGGCGAGGAAGAGACGTGACTGGAGACCTGGATGAAGGAAGTAAACCTCCTGGAGATTGTCTCTAACGTTAACTGGAATCGCGTCGTAGATCGCTCTTAGAGCTGAGATTCCTGGGAAGTTCTCGCTCCTCTGTACACCGGTGTGGACGTAAAGCACGGCGAATGGTTTTCTACCTAATCGAGGAAAGATCTTCTCCTCTAGATACTTCTTTAACACATCAAGTGATAGGAATCGAGCTGATATGGGAGAAAATAAATAAACTCAAATTAGAAGATTTTTCCAAGTAAATCTACATAAGAGAAAAAAGAAACAGATCCGATTGGTTATGAGTGAGTACCTGGGAAGAATTTGCCGATGATACGAAGGATCTTACGGCCACGTTTGTCTCTGCCATGGATCTTAAAGATCTCAAGCTTTTCGATCAGCTGCTCTTGTTCGATCTCCGAAATCTGAGAACTCATCGCTTCTCTCTCTCTTGTTTCGTCGGTGAAATCACAGTTGAATTATTGAAGAAGAAGAAGTGAAAAACAACAAAGGGGGCGAGTGAAGAAGAAGGAGGTGATGATCATTTTAAAAAAAAAAAGAGAAAGACAAAAGAAAGGAAATAGAGTATTATTATTAATTGGAGGGTAATGAGAGAAACGACGGGCACTTACGAATATTCTATAGCATCTTCCTTTTTAACATGATCTTTCTCACCTCTTTGTGGGATCCCACACTTCACAGTTATTACCTTTTTTGCCCTCTCTTTCGATCTTTCTTCGTTAACCAAAACTAATCTGGTCCCTTGGTTTCTTCCTGCCTCATCCAACGGCTACTGTCTTTCTTTTTTTTTTACTCTTTTCCCGCGCGCTCTACTCTTAAGCGATGTCTGTTGGTTGTTACGTTACGTCTCATCAGCCATCACATGATTTATGTTATTGGATAAGATAAACGTTATTTTGGCTCATCTCATGCCTGACATTGAGCATACCTAAATCAAATCATTGCTTTTTATAAATAAATATCTCGATGATCTTATCTATCTATCCAATGGAATCTTAGAAATTAAAACAAAGAATACTTACTTAATCTCGTCCATATGACCATATCAATCGGATAATCATGCCGGCATTTGTGGATCATTACAATATTAATATACCCAGGAGGCACATGCAAGGACACTATTCAGAATCAAATCTTGGGACTCAGAAACATAGTTTTCTTCCAAGTATCCCATATTAATATACATACATCTACCGTACATCATATGTATATACAAACACATGTCTGACTCTTACATAAACCTCAGTTCTATGTATTAGATACACATAAAGATCAAATTATGAGTAGAAGAAGAACCTAACAATGTTTGGAACCTATGATCTTTATATGGTCAAACATGGATACTCTGGTGAAGGGTACAAGAGATATCATGAAGTCTTAACCTCCTATGGCAGTAACAATGACTTTACTCACTTGCATTTGTATAGAACCACCCTATAGCTATCATGATCAAGCAAACAACATTCACGGATTCACCTAATTACTTTCTGCTACAATACAAAATTTTACTGTACTTCACTGGCCTCATTTGCCTGATCAAGGCTGAATCCAGACATCTCTGCTAGTTCAGCTAGTTCTATTTCTCCGCTAAAGACCTACAGAATAAAAGAGGTAAAATGAAAATGACATATGATGAAATGTACCAAGGATTCCGAGATTTACTCACCTGGTTATTTATTATCCATGTTGGGAATCCTTCGATCCCAGCGTCTGCACATGCCTTGAGTATCTTAGTTCCTTTCTTATATCCATCCGGAAAACATTCCACATAATTCAGTTCTTTTGCCGCTTCTTTTCCAAACATCTATAAATGGATGGAACTTACATTAAGATAATAATAAATGCATGAAACTGATTCCTGGCAAACCCATTATAATTGAACTAACTACCTCTTTTTGCTCTAAGCAGTGAGAACACCAGAATGCCCCATACATTTTGGCTCCAATCGAGTTTAGATGTTTTGCTAAAGCAATAGCATAAGGGCTAGATGATGATGTGATCTCTGTTCTATAATATGGCAGTTCAATGTCACCAGAGCTGGAAGTAGTGACACAAAAAACTATCCAGGTTAAAAGATATCACCTGATAAATACTCATTCATCTTTGAGACACAATTTGTTGACAAGTTGCTACAAAGGACTATAATTGCCATCAGATTCCCGATAGAAAACTATGAACTTAGATTACCGTGACGGGATTGGTTGAGCAGTACTGTAAGAAGCAGTCAAGGAGGCAACTACTAGGATTGCCAAGCATGTCTGCAATCCTACAACTTGCTTTATTTCTTCCAACTTCACATCCTACCACAGGGATGGAGCACATAAACAGAATCCAACCTTTAGAAGTTATTTAAGTCGAAACACATTAAATCGGTAAAGAAACAGAAATAAAACGATACCTTTAAAGAGAGGAAAAACAGACAGAATGATATGAAAGCAGACACTAGGCAATACAGGCATGATGATCCTGAGAGTTTTGTACTAAGGATATACAGAAAATATGCACTAGCAGATGCCATTGCAGTCGTTATCCCAAATAAAGCAAAACGCCCATTGTTCTTACTAATTCCAAAAGGTAAATTCTCTTCCCCAAGCTCTGCACTTAGAGCGGTTACTAAGCCATACATAACAAATCCAATCACTGGGAGAGGAACACCTGGCAAAGTGTAAAACGATTGTCATTGAGTTCAGCTTTCAAACACATTAAACCTCCAAGAAAATGAGGGTCAATAATGCCGGAACAGAGGACAAAGAAGAAAGAAAAATCATTACATACTACACAAGTGGAGTGAAGTATGCTATTCAACTTCAACAGTTCTATGTATGCTTAAGTACTGAATCCCCCAAATGACATAACCATTAGGACAGAGTCACAGAGATGATCACATGCGAGTGTTTGATCATGCCTATTATAAGAGTAGAAAAAACTCCACCAGAACCTCAAAATTAGCTAATTAATCAAAAACGCTCCATAAATACAAAATTAAAAACAAAATGCATACATTTTTCCAGGTTTTCGAAAATTATTGAAACTAAAGATTCAGGACTGCATATATTCATACAATGTCGAAAGTCTATTGCAAATCCAAACCAGAACTACGTAAATCAAAGGCTGCATTCATTAAAGCGATGGGAAAATACCGAAGACAGCAGCATAATCACTGTTCAGGACATCTCCGCAAGTGCCACCACCAATAGGGCAAAACGCATCAGACCCAGTGACCTTGAGGTAAGTCAAATATGCTGTATCTAACATCCCAATACCGCCAAGTACGGTGTACCAATTGTATGTCGAACTGTTGGTCGTCGATACTTCACTCGTGGACGACGACGATGAGGAGGGAGACAGCGAAGGCGCCGAATCCTCACTATTTTCCGGCTCAGATGAAGAACATTTGATCGTAATCGTCGGAAATCTCCGGCCAGGGACCTAATTCAGAACATCTGACTTCAACTGACCGATCACTTATTCATTCTACCATCAGAGAAGAAACACATGACTAGAACTTACCTCAAACCGCCGCGTATAAGGAATTAACGACGGAGGAGGCAACTCGCAAAAACCAAAACGAAACTGGCAAGACGATACAGAGACAAAGCTCGCCATTATCATCGTCGTCGTCAAACAATCGCTATTCCACCATTGTTAACTTCTTCATCTCCTCCTCCTCAGCATCCACTATCTCTCAGCCACTTGTTTCAATAGTGGGCCTAAAAAGGCCCAAATAATATAAATTTGTTACCATAATAAAGCCCGTGAAGATTGGGCCTTGACGGTCTTCTTATCTATCCGAGTCAGCAAGTTATCCTCTTCAACACGACTCACGAGGCACCGGGTTGGACTTATCATCATCTACGCATGGCTTACATTACATTTTGGAATAGACATCGGTTACATATTTGAATTTATCCGTAGGATGATAGAGACTCTAATATCGAACATAAAACTTGCTGACGCGACACCCATACGGCCATACCTCTTAATATCTGTATGTATATATAAACATTAGACGCTAAAAGTAGACTCAAATCATCTTAAGAGAAGTTTAAAAGAAGAAAAGAAAAAATGGAAACTACGGCTTTTAACACAACCGCACGAATTGGAAACTGGTCATCAGCTATTTCTCCACCTCTACAGACATGTGGATCGTTCAACTGGCAGCTACCAACACGAAAAAGTGTTATTTTAGCAAATCTTCAAAACTCAAACTTCCGATGGTGAGCAACGACCGGACTCTCTCTCTCTCTTTCAGTTTCAGGTTTGGATTATGAGTTATCACTAAATATTTATGAGTTGTTGTTGAAGGAGGAAAGCAACGACAACAAGCAGAGGAAATGTTGCAGCAGAGGCAGCTAGAATTCCTACATCAGTACCGGTAAGAGTGGCGCGTGAGCTAGCTCAAGCTGGATACAAGTATCTCGACGTGAGGACACCAGACGAGTTCAGTATCGGACATCCGACTAGGGCCATCAACGTACCTTACATGTACAGAGTCGGATCAGGTTATTATTCATCACCGACCTTTACATTCCTCTGTTTTAAGAAAAGTTGAAGTGAAATCCCTTAGAAACTAACCAAAGCCAACCAAAAAAACGTTGCAGGAATGGTTAAGAACCCGAGTTTTCTAAGACAGGTCTCATCCCACTTCAGGAAACACGACGAGATCATCATCGTAAGTTTCATTTTTGGCAATTTCGACATCAGAGAGTATATCGTGATGAAAGAAATCCCCTGTTTCACAACATCTTTGAGAAGCCTCATAAACAAACTACTATATATTGCAGGGTTGTGAGAGCGGAGAAAGGTCTTTCATGGCTTCTACTGATCTTCTCACTGCTGTAAGTGTGATTCACTTCTACTTAGACACCCGTAGTAATAGAATCTGTTATCTGATTTAGGACAGGCGGTTTAATGCTGTCGCATGTACAGGGCTTCACCGCGATTACAGACATTGCTGGAGGATACGTTGCTTGGACGGAGAATGAGCTCCCAGTAGAAGAGTGAAAACACACAAGCCCAGTCAAATATCCTGTAATTATCAATACTTTATGTAGATGTTCTAAACCCAAGTGGTTTCTGTAATCTGAATGACATCGTTTATGACGAGTTAATAATAATACTTGCTTCGTAAGAATGTCTTCAAAAGAATTGTTTAAACTTTATTGACTGGCATTGCAAGTCAATCTCTGCAGTGATCATTTGTATCAAAAAGAAATTGCTTTAGGAAAATTATACATGGACAAAAAGAGTGAGGCTCTAAGGAACTGTACAAAGTAAAACGAAAGAGTGAGTAGAGCTCTATCAAACCGAGCAAACCACAGTTTCAGCGCACTCGAGAGTCTCAACGATGGCCCTTTCTTAGGCCTGAAAAGTAACCACCATGTTTATCCTTGCGGCGCTCATCTTCTCCAACCTGGTGGTTGCAAAACATATTATTGCTCAGAATAGCGTTTGGTATAGGTACATAAGTCGAAGCGATATAGTGATAAAGCAAGTACCTCGTGGATTAGTTGGTTAAGCATTTCTATGATATCTGCAAAATCGGGTCTTTGAGCTGGGTCTTGCTGCCAGCATTTCTCAAGAAGTTCAGTCAGTTTTGGGTGTGTTTGCTTTGGAATTTTTGGTCGAAGTCCCTGCAAAATAATTAAAATTCATTGTGTTAAAGCCTATCAACAAAGCACGAGAAACAACTGTAACTATTAATATGATACCTTTTGGACAACGCCAACAGCAGCTTGCAGTGGAGTCAAGTAAGCATATGGGAGCTGTTTTCATTCATTAAACACATAAGTTACCGAGTTTAATAACTTTGTACCAAAATCCAGAGAGAGAAATTTAAGAATCTTACTTCGCCAGTCAAAAGTTCCCACAGCACAATCGCATAGCTAAAAACATCTG